GGGAGAAATATTCGCCGGAATACAAGCCCCATACGACCTCCTCGGGCGGGCGGTCGTTGAAGATGTGCATCTCCATGGCGCCTCACGTTTAACACCACCCTGAGAGACATCAGCAGTTTCGTAATCGCCTCCTTCAACCTCACTCACTTCCTCGGTTTCCCCTCCCCTTTCATCATCATCATGAACGTCCCTCACTACTGGATTTTTCCCAAAAGCAGTATTCCCCCTTTGTTCTCGCACTGCTTTATTCACAGCTATAGAAAGTGGAGCAAGAATAACAAATGTCAACTTGTTTTCTGCACATAGCCAATCACGCTGATTTTCATACTCTTCCTCCAATGTAAGTCTTTCGCTTGCTGTGCAGTGCATCAGCTCGCTATCGCCCATCCATTGATGGTACCGAGGGACATGGTGCGCCAAGTAAGGCACCAGGCGCAACCGGCTACCGCCGACTAAAACATGTTCGTTGTTCATGTACCACTGCGAGTGACCAACGCCCCTTCCGCGTACCGTCAAGCAAATAAAAAAAATAAAGAAACACAAACTCAGTAAGAGAAGAAATAGTGAAAAAGAAAGCAGAAGCAGCTGCTGTGGGCAAATTAGGTAAAAAAAGCAATTTCCCATGCGCCATTTCAATTCTCAGAGTGCAGCACCGCAAAAAAAAAAAAAAAAAAAAAAAACCGAGTATGACGCTCTCAAAACCATTCGCCTTTGACTTTTTTTTTTTGTTTGTTTGTGTGTGATTTAAATCACAATCTTTTACCCTTCTGGGGTTTCTTTATTATTAACATTTTTTTTTTTTTTCTTCTCCTTCTCTCACTTTCTCTTTTTTAAGCACTACACAACGCAACCAATCGCCGATACAATTTGAATTGCATAACTAATTCACGGGGAACTGTAAAGTCATGACTGCAGACTGCACCCTCCTACTCCGCCTCCAGTAGATAACACAGTTACAAACATAAACACACGCACATACGCACACATACAGATATATATATATACTTATATACTTATATATACACACACAGACAGGTATAAGTGCGTGCAAATAGATAAGATGAATCAAAATAATAATAATAATAATAATAATAACTTTCTTCTCACTCATTTACTGGGAAGGGGGGAAAACAATTGTGTCTGTCTGTCTGTGTACGTGTGCGTGTGTTTTTTTGTCCCATTCACACCCCGCCCCGTCCAGTCTGTTTCTCTTTCGCCTTTTCCCCACCCCACCCCCTTTTCTTTTCCCTCTCTTTTTTTTTTTTTTTTTTTTTTTTTTTTCGCATTCATGTTGTTTCCCCCCATCCTGCATTGTCGAGCATACATGTAAAGCGTCCAACACACACAAAGTCCCTCTTTTCCCTCGCAAAAAAAAAAAAAAAAAAAAAAAAAACACCAACAAACAAACAACGACAAATGGTAACGCCCCGGCAGGGTGTCACTCAAAACCCGAGCAGGAATCTCAAAGTCGTAAGCACCACGTGTTCTCATAAAAGCAACAAAAAAATTTAAAAAACTTGAAAACAAAGGCATAAAACACGTCATACTAAGGCATTAATAATAATGAAAAAGAGGAAAAAAACATGGCATCTCGCACGCCATTGATCGCCTCATTCATCCTCATCCTCCGAGAAAGACTGCTCGAGAGAAGCTTCCACGAGGTGTCTCACACGTTCTTCGTACTTGTCCTTTGCATTTGTGTAAAGTAACGCCGCCTCACCGTTGGCGGCGGAACTTGGATTGGGGTCGGACAAGAGAGATATGATCATCATTAAGAGAGATTCCACGTCAAGTATCGGACTCCACTCCGTTTTGAGCGTGTCCAGGCATATATTCCCATCAACATACACATTTGGGTGAAACATGTCCCTGGTCAAAAACCGAACCTTCGGCGGTGCACAGGGATACTCATCGGTGAAGTCCAGCTGCAGCTTAAATATGCCGCCCTCCCAGACTGTGCTCTCAGGCCCAAGTACAACGGCGCGCCAGTGAAACAAGTCCCCATCAATCGGGCGTGCCGAAAAAAACGAGTTGGTACCGCGCTGTATCCGCTGCAGATCCTGCATGAGCCGCCGACGGGCGTCCGCAGCGTTCCGTGGGTTCGCCTCCGCCCTCCGAACATAATTCAGGCGTTCCTGGTGCTCCGCTACTCCAACTTCTTCCTCCTCATCCTCCCCTTCCTCCTCCGCTCGCTGCTGCTGCTGCTCCGGCCGCTCCAAAATGGCGTCGAGCGTGAGGGGACGCTCCCGCGGCTCATTGGACTCCACAGTAGCTGGCAGGTCCATGACGCCAAAAAAAGTTCTCCCACCCCTCACTCCTAACAACGGCGATAAAACAGGCAAAAAGGTAATAACAACCAAAAAAAAAAAAAAAAAAAAGATGCGTGGATTAAAATATCGGCCACACACAGAAGGAATAATTCCACTTGGAGCCCGCCGCGCTGTATCCCCTCTGACTGTTAGCACACAGACTCTTTGACTTCCTTGTCAAATAAAAGACAACAAAGAAAAAAAGAACAAAAAAAAAATTTTACTGTGGGAAAAAGAAAAAAAAAAAAGGAAAAGATGGGCCACAAGAAAAACAAGGCCATTTTCTTTCATGCGCATTCAGCCCACGCATATAAATGCAATAAAACACACAAAAAAAAAAAAAAAACGGAGATAAATCAAGAAGAATGCTGTTAATGACATCGGCATAAAAATGTTTTCCTCCTCTTTCCATTTTTTTTTTTTTTCTTGTCTTTTGTTTTTTTTTTTTTTTTTTCCACTATTCATTTTCCCCCTTTTCTTCTTTTCTTTTTTTTTTTTCTTTTTTTTTCTTTTTTTCCCTCCGGGGCTCTCTTCTCAAGCAACTGTTCCTTCTCCTTGCTGCTCTCTAAAAATAAATATCGATGGAAAGGGAGAAGGGGGTATAATCATGCATAATAATTCAGGCTGGACTTCTTTCGAGACTGTACAGCTGTGACACCCTCAGCAAAATCTTCATGTGCCACATATACACGGTCGTTGCGCAGTGCCAGCATACCCGCTTCCACGCAAACCGCTTTTAATTGTGCCCCGTTCATATCTTCTGTCATGCGGGCAATTTCCTCAAAGTTGACATCCCCATGAATCGCCATGCGCCGGGAATGAATTTCAAGGATTCGCGCCCGTGCCTCCTCATCCGGAAGCGTAAATTCTACCTTTCGATCAAGACGTCCACTTCGCAGCAGTGCCGGATCGAGCACATCAATGCGATTTGTGGCAGCAATGACCTTGACATCATCGCTACTGCCAAAACCATCAAGCTGTGAAAGGAGCTCCAGCATGGTTCGTTGCACCTCCCTGGAACCGTGCTTGCCACCCTCGTCGGAGCGGCGTGACCCAATGGCATCCAGTTCATCAATAAAGATAATTGTGGGTGCCTTCTGCTTAGCAAGGGCAAAAGCATCCCGTAAGATACGAGCGCCCTCCCCAATGTACATCTGCACCAACTGAGGCCCTGCAAGTCGTAGGAAACACGCATCTGTAGCGGCTGCGCACGCACGAGCCAGCATCGTCTTTCCTGTACCCGGTGAGCCATACAGCAGCACCCCTTTCGGTGGTTTGATACCAATACGCTCAAATCTTGCCTTATCCGTGATGGGTAACACGACAGCCTCAATCATCTCGTTGATTTGCTTGTCAAGGCCACCCACATCCGTGTATTTTTCCGTTGGCTTCTCCTCAATTTCCATTGCCTTCACACGACTGTCATACTCGGGCGGTAATGTGTCCAAGACCAGATAGGTGTCTTTATTTACGCCCACCAAGTCTTGTGGCCCAAGTTTGTTTTCATCCACAAGCCCCACAACAGGTAAAAAGACCGTATGCCGATTTGAAGTCTTTATAATGGCACTCTTCTGTTTCCGCTTAGACTTCCTTCTTCCCACATCCAGTTCCTCCACCTCGTCATCCTCATCATCCATGTCCAAAATCTCCGACACGCTGGCCACTAGGTACGGCAGCTTGTTGTTGTCCTTTACACGCTTCTTGTCATCCTCCACCTCCTTCTTGAGTCGCTGCAACTCGTTCATCCTTGAACGCTCTTCATTCTTCAGCTGCTGAATCTCGCGTTGTAGTTGATTCGCGCGCGTTCGTAGCTGGGCGTTGGTGAGAGTTTCAATGTTTGCTAATTCCTCGTTTGACAGCATGCTCGCCTGCGTGGCGTTGCCTCCCCCACGTTCGCGGCCGCCTCCTGTTGCTGTTGCGTCCTTGGACATTTGATGATGGATCCACCAATGAACTGCTGGGATGACCCCCTCTTTGCTTTACTTCTCGTCCCGCCCTTCTCCTGCCTTTTCCTCCTCGCTCCTGCTGGGATATGAATGAGATACACGTCCCCTTTGCTTGTATCTTGCGTGCGTCTGCGTGTCTCCGCTCGTGCAGCTGTCGCAATGCCCTCTTTCTTTTCCAAGTGTCACTTTTTTTTCTTTTTTTTTCTTTTTGTTTTTCTCCTCCCTTTTCTTTCGTGGTGTTTGCACCGCTAAAATTGCCATCGCATTCGGTGCGCGGTGACGACAATAACAAAAAAAAAAAAAAAAAAAGTGAGGGAGAGAAAAAAAGAAAAAAGGAAGAGACATGTCATACAAGCGGCCTCAATACATCACTCTATGCAGAACCGAAGAGAAAGAAGGAAAAAATATTTGTTCAGGCAAGAAATATGGCCGGGTCACCCACCCACACACACACAAACACACACACTTTGCTCCCACCACCAGCGAAGGGTTCTCTCCCCCCTGTTCTTCTTTTTTTTTTTTTTTTCCGTTGCCATTGTTTGCCGCACCTTCCATTCTCATTTGTATCCGTTTCACGGAACAATAACTGTTCCTCAAGGCTCTACCTCCGCCTCCTCTTCTTCTTATTGACGATGCACGTGCAGCAGCGGGTGATTAATACGCACGGGAATAAGAAGCCTTCTTTCGTCCTTTTTTTTTTCTTCTTAGTTTGCTAAAAGGGGAAGAAATGGGAAACTTGTTTTTTTTTTACTTTTTTCTTTTTTTTTCCTTTCATGGCGTGCATGATGGCAAAAACGCCTCCGTCATGAAATAAATACAACACAACGATATGTAAAAATACAAAAATAAAAATAAATAAATAAATAAAATAAAAATAAAGATGCATCGTCTTGAGCTCTAAACATAAAACACACGCACAGTTTTGATTGTTTTCTTCTCTGGTCCGCTCCTCCATGGCAGATCGCCGTCAAACAATGGAGTCATTTTTTGAGTGCTCTGTCTCATAGAGTTCTTGCATGATTCCTCTAAGGCGGGTTTGGGTCTGGTACAGCTCCTCCTGATAGTGCAGCGCCGCCGTGAGGAGCTCTTCTCGCCTTTCCCTTGCCGCAGCAACAGCAGCAGCAGAAGCTTCCCCGGTGCAATCACCGTTGCAGGAAGACGGACTCCCAGCATTCACTGTAAACATGCAATCAGTCTTGCCTGTCTTATTGTTCGCCTCCTTTGAGGCGTGATCGCGAGATTCACTGACCCTCTGATGAATATTGGCGGCACGTGCACTGGAGAGGTCGAGTGCGTACTTCTTTTCAAGCAACTGACACAATTTTTCCACCTGTTCTTCAAATGCATCGTCAAACTGTACCGAAAATGACATGGACGTGGACGCGCTGTCTTGGTAGAAATCCTGCGGCTTGTTGGCGCCGTACGGGTTGCGGGGAAGCGGACTGACGTCATTGATGACGCATCCCCCACGACAGCCTTCGCCCCCCACCAATTGTCTTTCATGGGCGTTGTTGTCAGGCTGGAGATAATGTTGCAGGGCCCGCTCTGTCAGTTGCCTTGTGAGCTCCGCCACATCAGGGCGCAATGCGGCATGCAGCTCCTGCGGAGGATCCAAAATAAACATTTCCTCCTCCTCCATAAAAATTTCCTCCCCATTTTGAACGTCATTCTCCTCAACAGTTCGATCATGGGCAACACTACTGCCACTGCTGCTACGGTTCCTGCTGTGGCTTTTGTGGTAAGACACCATTGCGTCATTCGTTACCGTGACAAGATCGGGAAACAACTTCTCCATCACCGCGAGTACGATAACGGCATACTGCTGACGGGAGATGGCCCCACGGCGGTAGGGATCTTCCAACACCTGTCGGATAATTGTAGCCGCCTCCAGCTTGGCGGGCGGTAGGGCGGTGAATTGTGCGGGGACCACAACGCCTGTTCCCACCGCATCCTCATGACGTGACGCGCCGTACTCTCGTTCCACTAACTCCCGCAGACGCCCCAACTCCTCCTCGCTAAACTGCGATAACTGTTGGTTTTCTTTTTTTTGCTCTTCTCCCCTTTCGTCCTGCTCATACTTGCGGTAAATCACTGATGCGTCATGTCGCCGCTTCATTTTTGTCGCGTGATTCCGCTTGTCGTCACTGCTGCCTCCCCTGCGGTGATGGTGGTAGGATTTCTTTCCGCTGCTCCTCTTCACATCGCTGTGTGGGGAAAGGGAAGCATTTGGCTTCAGCCGGTTGTCATGGTCGCCGTTGCTCTTCTGCCGCCTCTTTTCACGCAGAAAAGCCAGTGATGCTTCCACACAGATGTTGATAAACGCCTCACGTGAAAGGAGTGAAGCCCCTGAAACAGCAGCCAACATCGTTTTCGCCGCCAGGACCGCCTCGCGTGCCTCCACACGGGACGCCTCCTTTTCGGGGGTCAACTCCACAAGCATGAAAATATAAATGTATAATTATATATATATATATGTGTGTGCGCGTGTTGCCGCCGCCGGCCCTATCGGTATTCCCACACGTGCTTGCCACGCCCCTTCTTCAATGCTCCCTCCCTCTCTCTCTCTATCACTTGTCACAAGAAAAGCAACCAAAAAAGCGACAAAAAAGAAGAAGGAGAAAAGAAGCATCCACAAAACACCCACACACAGGTCCACAAAAAAACAAAAAGTAACTAGTTTCAAGAATATCCATCGCTCCAATGCAAACAACAGAAACAGTTAGAAAGCCGACGAGTTCCCTCCCTCAACCCTATGCAGGAGAGCTAGCAGCGTGGTCCCAGCGAGAAAATCCCAATTCCACCACACATCACAGACTCCTCTACAAACCCATTTTCTCCCGAATGAGAAGAAGAAGACTCCAATTTGCCTTGCGTGGCTTTCTGCATATCGTCCACACAAAACGACAGACTCGGCTGGACATCGCAAGAGTCGCGCCTCGGGTCGCCTGTGTCCCGGTACACGAGGGAGTGCCAGCAACCAACAGCGTCCTGCAGCCAACAAATTGGATCACATTCACCGCACGTAGCCGGCTGCGTCACAAGTCGCACAAAAGGCACTGCCATTTCTTCTGTCGTTCCTTTCCCTTCTACAAGCAGCTGAGACTCCCACCGTCGACGCGATACGCTGCTACAATGAACAGCAGCTGCCAATGTAGGCCCACTCACAAAAGAAAGTACAACCACCACGCACATTCTCCCTCTCTCCCTCTTTGAGGGAAGCGGCACGCATTGTAACAAACTAGGCTCTAAAAGCCAAATTGTCGCCTTATTCCCTTCATGGAGTAAGTCCTTTAGGTCCAACACCACATGGTGAGAGTTGCTTGACGGTGTCTCAAATTTCCCTTCCATCCAAACACCTCTTGTTGACGCCCTGCACCTGAGAACGCATGGCACTGTGTACAATTTAGCCCCCGCACAGTACATCATATCACGAGCAAACACACATGTCTCCCCCATTCTTGTCGCCTCTCCCAAAGCCGTCATCTTCGCACAGTCGTCAAGACGTCCTGTTGGGAGAAAATCAAATAATGGATGAACATCAGTCTTCACATGAATAATGTCCACGACACAAACCGTCGCCAAGGGCAAAGTACTGTCATCCTGTTGCTCCCCAGAACAAGTCACTTGTAAAAAAAGAAAGAAACACTCACGGCAGCCATTTTCCCTTGAAGGCAAAGACGAAGCGCTGGTGGCACAAATAAAAAAGTGATTCCTTTGAAATGATGCGAAAAAACGAATCATGCAAGAAAGCAATGAAAACCTCTCGCCATCTATGCTCCCCATCGTCTCCGTGCCCACAAGACCTCTGCTGTCGCCGTCATTCATCACAGCTAAAGGAGGATGCACATCACTCACACACACGACTTGACCCTCTGCGGTCATGAGAATCACGGTGGCTCGACACACAAGAAGCAATTGAAGCTCATGTAGTGAGATCGGACCCCCGTCTATCTCAACTGGAGTTGGCAATTTCCCACCCGTCGTGGTCCAGAAAGACTCCATGGAAATGTCAGAGGACCCAGAGGCAAAAAGAAGAAACAAGGCGTCCACCTCCGCCGTTTTCCCTGAATGCGGCCACTGCACCCTTGAAAGTCTCTTGCAGAACACATTAGGGTCATAATTTCTCCAGTGCGTACTAAAAGGAGTGTTGCGACGTACGAGACAAATGTCTCCGGAGCGAAAGATGACAACTTCTCTTTCATAGGCATCCACAGCCTCATTCTGTCGAACCGTGCAGCGGCATAGTGGATGCAGCGGGGCATGCTGGAGACTCCCAAGATTGTACTCCCCATCAACCCGACTGAGTGGTTGCACCAAGGCCGGCAGACCTACATTTAAAGGAAACCCATGAGAATTACTCCCTCCGTCCACGATAAACCCGTTGCTGGCACCAAACCAGATGAACCGCGGCATGTCACCTCCCTGCGGAACCAACTCCGCCATTAACAAACTGCAATCCACTTGCTGGGTATTCTCGTCTTCGTGGGCCGCAAGAAGAAACACCGTCCCCCTTGCGTCCTCCCACTTAAGGCCGATCAATCGGTGAAGGTGACGCAAGGAGCGTGGCACCCCGGCATCCCATGAGGGAATATTTCGGCAATTCACAACAGCCATCTTCGCGTCACCACTCGCATTTTTCTGCTCTAGGATGCTTCGCCCAACACCAACACCAACACCACCACCAGCAGCAGCAGCAGCAACATTTGTTGTATTCCACACCTCCAGAAGCAAAACGTCACCTCCACTCCGCATTGCCAAAACAACAGCGACAACACGTTCCGTTCCCCCAGCAGCGCTGCTGACGCGCCGTGGCTCGGATGATGTCACCGGGCAGGCTACAGCACTTTCGATAAAGCCGCCAACTTGGCAACGTGTCACCTCGCCATCTTCTGTAAAAACCGCAAAGTACATTTCTTCTGACTTTTTATTGTCGCGTGCTGCCGTGGCAACCAAAGGCTCCCAGGAGGCATAAACCTTCTCATCACGCAAAAACGTACTCATGGGATACATCACATACGCTGGCCGAAGAAACACACCCAAAGCGTCGTGGCCTCCTTCCATGTTACCTCCGCCCGGTAGAACGGCATGCAACAGAAAAGAAGGATGAGCAAGAGTGAGTGCCTCCAAGCACCACGGACCCTCCATCAAGGACCCGTGCAATGTCTCCCGGAGACCCACCCAACTGTCATTTTCAACACACATTGGTATCTGTTGTTGTTGCCGTCGTCGTAGTACGGAAAGCATGCTAACAGCAAGACAATCAAGGAAAGGGTCCCCAGAAACGGGTGCTTTCTGATAGAGAACAGCAAGCAACGGGTAACGCCCCTCGTAATCGCGCGAGAAGGGCATCCAACGCAGTGCCCGCACTTCCCCTGGTACCCCACTCAACTTCTCCAACTGCAACGACCCCCATGTGAACTGTCGAAACCCTTGCAGCGTCCGCCACGGAGATGAGACATTTCTTCCCAAATATTCCTGCCACACAAAATCCACATACTCCACCCAACCCATCACGCGTGCAAACACAATGCGCAGAATAAACCACGGAAAAGTGTTACGCGAAAGAGAAGCTGAGACACGTTTCGGGTAGCGTTGACCCTGTTGCAACCCGGGTAAAGAGGAACTAGACGACAAAAAAGACGTGCTGTTAAGGGAAAAAGAGTCACTTTTATACTCCTCAACAATGGCGCTCATAGGTACGCTAAGTTGACGGGGAAACATGTAATGAGAAGACTCATTCTCTTTCATGTCTCCAGAACACCACCGAACCGCCAGCAGCTGAGCCTTTCCTTTGCTGCTACCACCATCATTCGCTTCGACAGGAGGATCTATGACAAAAGAAGCAATTGCCATGCAATGGCATTCCATGACAAAGAAAAGCACGACATGCAGCCCTTGAACATACAGCGTTGACACGGCAGCGATGCCTTCACGTTTCCCGGGGCAGCGGAGACAGTCCCCACGGCGTCTTGCCGCATCATTACCATCAACCGACACCACACTAGCAACTCGTTGCAACTCCCTTAAAAGGAGAAAAAAATCCTCCTTCGTGCCATCTTGCGACATCCCCTTCTCCGGGAATAAAATGTGCTTGTCTATTCGTGACGTAACATTATTGGATGATAAATGGCTCCCATTCTTGACAACAAACCATGCACATTGACTGCCAAGGCAAAACACATCCACAACACGCCATGTCTCTTCCCCACTCTGTCCGTATGCTTCTGTTAATGAAGATGGCACGGATGATATCGCCATTGTTGCCTCCAGCAGGCGCGACATTGCGTCTCTCGCTCGCCTCCCCTCCCTATCACACACAGACAGAGACACAAGGAGAGAAGCAGGGAGAGAGAGACCCTTCAGCAATAATGTGTCAAGAAAAAAAAAAAAAGGCAAAAAAAAAGAAAAAAGAAAAGAAAAGCGACACATCCTGTACCGCTAAATCGCCTGCGCACATGGCCACACGCACAAACAAACGCAGCCAGAGACAACTCAAAGAGATGCACAGCCGGTGCCAATGGGAGAAGAGCCCCGCACATGCACGTAACTAGAAAGCCGTCAAATAACAAGCATCAGAAAAAAAAAAAAATGATAATAATAATAAATAAAAAAACAATTCTTGAGTTCATGGGAAAAATAGCGAAATGCACGCGATAAAGAAAAGTAGAAGAAAAATAGTGAGATACGCCCCTCTCTTTCCCATTGCATATTTCCTCCACCGAAAAAAAAAAAAAAAAAAAGAGAGAAAAACGTGAATCAGATGGGGTGCAATAAACAAACACAAACACACAAAAAGACAGACACGCAGACAGACACGCAGACAACAGCAATACCCAAGGAATCCGTCACACAGAGACACATGTAGAAGTTAGAGATAATTTTTCTTTCTTTTTTTTTTTCTTGTTTTGTTGTTGTTTCTTCTGTTTCCTTTACAGTTTCGCCTCGCAGCCGTACTCCTTCACAAAATCCTCCGTCACGATTGCGGCCAGTCGACCAGCTAACTCAAAGGCGGAGAGCCCTACAGCCCGCACATCCGTCGCCTTTCGCGCATTCGCGGGAATCGCCACAGACAGGCTATACTCTAGACGAGGATCCTCCTCCTCATCACGAAGAACAATAAGGGGCTGTCGTTTTGTCTCCCTCACAGTGATCTTCACGCCTTTATCTGTCACCTTCTCGAAGAGACGAGTCTCGTCCTCTGAGAGATATATCAACTGACCATGCTCCGAAGGCAAAACGTCCGATACATCATCTTCCGATAGCTGAATAATGGGCATCGATGCAAACATTTCCACCTCTTGCCGTCGTATTGGAGGCCTTGAACGAAGCAACAAGCGAACGTCCGGTCCACGGGCATGTGTGCACCAGGCCGTCTGCACATTTACCCAGGCGCTATTTACGGATAATACCTTCCCCTTGTTATCCAACTCAAGGTGAAGTTGATCCTTTGCACGCTTAACCGTTCCACTGTATGTGAGTTGAGCTCCCTTACCAAGTGGCATGAACCCCTCCGGTATCAGTAATTCCTCCTTAATCTTAGAAACACAAGACTCTGGTAATGTGGAGACCCATGTGTATGGATGATTCAACTGCATCCGTTGCTGAAGCGTATATGAAGAAACGATGGAACGATTCTTCCGCATGACGGATGGTTGTAAAAGCAGTTTACCAAAGTCCAGAAATAACTCTCCGTCCATCTGAAGATTGCTCATGTTTAAACAGCACCATTGAAGCACCTTGCTGTACCGAGAACGGAGAGCCACATCCTTTTCGGATGCACCCAACGTGTAACATTCTGTGTTTGCCGGAAACCCTGGAAAGGCGGTGGTGTTCACACGCGACACCACCACATCTGCCGCGGTATTGCTAACAAGCAACTGAAAGGCCTTTGGTGCCATATTCACGGATCCCTCGTAAAAGCCGGCCTGCGCAAGGTCCAGCAGTGTTTCTGGTTGCATCACAGTGGATTGATTCCATCGACCAAATCCTCCCTGCTGCTGTTGCTGCTGCTGTTGCTGTGGCGGCGCTTGACCACCATTTTTCGCGGCAGTGTCTTTAGAGTGGAGGTACTCTTCCACCTGCCGCACAATCACCGCCTTCTTAGCGGAAGGGTCTGTCCGAACCCCGGCGCGGGCGAGGAAACCTTGCAGCTGCACAAGAGACAAGGAGAACAGGTTGCCTTCATTCCACAGCGCCCACACCTTTTCGTGTGACACGTTCTCCACTTTGGGTGCCTGCTTGTCCATCATGTTGGCGGCGGCGTGCTGCATACCGCCTTGGTGATGTCGACTGAAGGCCACAACTGAGGAGGGCACAAGAATAGAATGCCGCAGTACACGAAGCATAATTCCAGAATATTCAAACTTTGTTGTTGTTTTTTTCTCTCCCCAATGCCTTTTCCTGTTTTGTTTTTTTCTTTTTATTTTTTATTTCTTGTTTGTTTTCTCTCTCTGTGTGTATTGTATGTGTTGTATATTATTCGTGGTGGTGGTGAAAAAGTTGTTTTTTTTTTTTTTTTTTTTTTGTGTGTGTCTTCTCTTTTAATTATGATATTCCCTTTTTCTGGTTCCGTTGATGTTTGATGTCGTTTCCTCCCCGTCCTTCTGTGGGCAATAAAGCGTGCGGCTTCTAATTTTTACTTTTCTTTCTTTTTTCTGTTCTTTTTGCTGTTGTTGTTGTTGTGGGCTTCTGCTCCTCCAACATCAAAGCAGTCAAATGCACAAGAAAACAAAAAAAAAAAAAAAAAGAGAAAAAAAAAGGGCGGAACATTCCAATCGTGAGGTCCGTCGCAGTTCGGGGGCGGCAGACGGGCCCCCTCACAGTACGCACTCATGCAAACACACTCACACTCACAGTGAGGGACAAGTAAAATAGTCGTGGAAATGCAAAAAAAATAATAATAATAAATAAAAAAGAAAATACTCCCTACCGTTGCCGTCACTGTGGAGAAGGTGTTGGTGGTGGTGGCACAAAACAAAACAACACGAACGTAAATGAATTATTCTCCGGATTTTTTTTTTTTTTTTTTTTTTTTTTTTCATTTGCAAAAAAATGCCCCTCCCACCTCTACTTCGGGCACTGTTTTTTTTTTTTTTTTTTTTTTTTTTTGCCTCATCGTCCATCCAACCCCTTCTTTATATCAAAACCTCCTTCCCTTCACTCTTCCTCTTTCCCCGCCTCTCTCTCTCTCTCTCTCTCACACTCCCCTTTTCTTTTCTTCTTCTTTCCTTGTTGTTGCTGTTGTTCTTTTGCCTCATCCCCCTCATCGCACCAGAGATCGAGTATTGTACCGCCGGGCCTGACCGAATGGAATGGGGGTTTACAAATAATAAAAATAAAAAATAAAATAATAAAAAAAAAGTAAAAAAGAAACCGCGTGTGACTTTGAAAATTCATATTTATCAATAAGGGTGAATGTTTCCGCAAATCCTTCTATCGTCCTCTCTCTCTCTCTCTCTATATGTATATGTTTGTGTATCTAAGCAGAAAGATGAAGAATGAGCATGCTTACTTCATTGGGAAAAAGACGCTCTGGCGTGTGAGCAAAAGCCAAAAAAAAAAAAAAATTTAAAAAAATAAAATATAAAAAAATAAAGTTCCCATCACAAGCCAAATATATATATATATATATATAATTCCCTTAGTCAAAATCTATGGTGACACGGGAGACTGATTACGTGTGCGTGAGTTGTGAGGAGGATATAATTCCGAAGCTTCCTCCTCATATTCGGCCCCACATGCAGCGGAAGGCTGACATGTCAAAAATTGAGTAGGTTCCCTCCAAATTGATTTCTCCGTTACTCCCGGTGTGTTCCTGCCTTCAGAAGACTCTGCGGCAGCAAAACTGTCATTTAAGCAGCGCGGTACAGGTTGCGCTACCGGAGGTGGTAAATATTTTGATGACTTCCATGATTGTTCCTCTTGACTTCCCGCCAGCAACTCGAATTCCTCACATGGGGTGCGGCAGCTTCGGCAGTGGCAGAAGCCATCCTCTTTACTTTGCTGTTGGTTGGGGAAATTGATTTCTTTACTGTAATGTAACTCATGATAATAATGCTCCAGGCTTGCAGGTATACCAGCAGCATCCGAAATAAGCTGCCCTATCGGTGTGTCAAAGCCATCGCGCCCTTGCAGGTTGGAATCGGTATAGATGCACGGCTGCTGGTTATAATGCGAACCATGTTGAGAATCCTGTTGCTGGTGTGGTTGTCGTTGTAATTTTTCATGCGCCACGGCACCGCGGTCGGCACCATGGCAAAGCTCAAATACGGTTAGCACCTCCGAGGGACATGCGTCAGGAAGCCGGTGAACGCCGCTGCACTCGGACCCCGCCACACACGAGCCCCGCACCCAGTTCAAGCAAAGACTCTGCGGACTCGATACAAACGGGCAACTCGTCGGGTATCGACAGGATCCGTACCAGCGCAAGCACGGATGGACCTTGTCGCACCAGGGGCGATCCTCCGCCTTCACAAAGGCATCTACGACGACAGTCCGGGAAGTTGCGCATCTCCTTTCCCCACGCGCCCAAGTAACACCATGATTGGGCGGAGTTTGTAAAAGCATCTGCGCCGAGCTTAGATTGCGAGAAGATAAATTGTTTGGCGAAGTGCCGCCCATTGACGCAGCCTTCTCACAGCTGTTGGAGAAAGAAGTGTCCTCCTCAAACGCCAGTGGCTTGCTGGGCGTTACATGTACCAAGCCCGAGCAGCGATCAATAATACCAAAACTGAAGCCCTGCTGTGGCTGCTGAGAAGTTTTTGCCGAGACAGATGTTGCCGTGGTTTTGTTTGTTCCCGAAATGTCCATTCCAGAAGCATCTTCCGTATTCTCGCCCTTTTTGACTCCTGTCGTCGTGGTATGTCGAAAGGAAAACAGACGAGCTTTGCTTTGAATAAACGTAGCCGCCTCTGGGTTGCAACTGCTCAACTCCAAAAGAACTTGAAGCAACTCATCCTTCTCAGCGGCCCTCAATTCCCGCTCCAGTGCCCGAACCGTGAACTCTGTGGAAGGGATTCCTGAACCCTTTGAAGGACTCGCGCCTGGCGAGTATACCACTGGTGAGTTGGAAAGTTTCCTTTTCGTGTCTGTCGTTTGACACCCTCGTGTGGTGGATGGAGAGGCAGAGAAATTACCAACCGAGACATTCTCCGAATAAGGCGAGGGCGTTATCACGGTTGCTCGGGGTGGAATTATCTTCGCAGCCACAGAGGAAAGAGACGCTGGACCCCCCACGTTGGAATGCATAGAAGCAGAAAATTCGCATGAAGTCTGAGACTGTAGCGGATAGCGTATTTGGCTTGGAGTGTGCAAGCAGTTTGTTGGAATGGAAAGATAATTCTTCATGTTCCCCACGTTGTCCCCGCATCCTTCTGACAATGAAGACTCCGCCGTGTATCCCACAATGCTGTGGTACAGCATAGAGTGAATATGAGGCGGTAACAGAGGCACACCATGAGTAGTATTTGAAGGCTCGATATGCGTCACTACATGATGACCATGTTGTTGTTGTTGTTGTTGTTGTTGTTTTTGCATGAAATGTTCACAATGACGACGATCATGTGGATTCAACTGCGGCGCTGCCACGGTATTGTGTCGTCGCCCCGCTGCATGATGACTACGCTGATGTTCACAGCAATTCTCATGCGGAGTGCGTTTAGTCGCTGCCGTAGCGACGGGAGAGAAAGCGCCCTGCATCTGTATGTGCTCCCTCCCGTTATTTATTTATTTCCTTCTATGCTTTCCTGCACAACACCCAAAAAAAAAACACGCAATCCAACGGATCAAAACTGCAATGCAGGTACCCGACGGGATGTCAATTAAAACTCTCCGCCCTCTTATGTGCCTTTCTTCCTTTTTTGTTTTTTTTTTTGTTTTTGTTTGTTTGTTTGTTTTCCTCCCGCTCCCTTCCTTATCGGCTGAGAGGAAGTGGGGAGTTCCCTCCACGGCCTTTTTTCGTCTCTCTTCTTTTTGTTCTATTGGATCTATCTTGGCTCAAGTGTGCAGGGCCTTTACGCACACACACACGGGCGCAATAAATAATACTATTAATACTGAGCGAAGCAAATCGCACACAGTTGGACAATTAAATAATATTTCTTCAGAGCAAAAGGAAAAGAAAAAAAGAAAAGAAAAGAACGGAAAGAGAAAAAAGAAAAGTCCATTTGCCCCTTTTTTACCCACCAACATGGCATTCAGAAAAAAAAAAAAAAAAAAGAAAGAAAAGAAGAAGTTGATGATTTTCCACTTCTTCTTTTCTTTGTTTTTGTTTCTCACTTTTCCCCGATCCTTCTTTTTTCTTAATTTTATCGGAAAATTAAATGTAAATATAAATATATAAATATATCAGCCGCGTAGATTGTTGCCGGTGTTGTCCATGCGTACAAATAAGTGAGAAGGAATGCCGCCATATTCCTTTACGCTACACACAGAGAAAGAGAGAGAGAGAGAGAGAGAGAGAGAGCACACATCACAGTCACAGGCCCTTCTACTCACGCACACTTCTCCGTCATGCCGCGGATGTCTGCTGCAACGCCGTCTGCTTTCCACGCATGGTGTCCACCACCTGCGCAAGTTGTGCCCGCTTCACCCGTATTTTCTGCTCCAGCGCCTCAATATTTTCCCGCACCGCGTCGGAGCGGCCAGCGAAGTACGACCTAGCGGACCCCATCGACTTCTCCAAAAAGTAGTCCGTTCCAACGTCCACCAGCACGCGATCGCTCGGTACGATGCGGCCACTCGCATAAAGGGCACTACTGATGCAGAGAAGAGCCTCCGGCTGTTTCTCCGGACTTGCGCGGGCCGCCTCGCAGACCTTTTGGTACTCCGACAACACGTCGCAATTGCTTAAAAAGCGACTTTGTGCACTGAGAAGGCTTTCGTGGGCAACCGACAGGTTGTTAACATCCGCTTGCAGCTGTTTTCTCAGTTCCTCCAGCTGCTCAAGTGGAAGTTGTGTGATGTTGATGGAACCACCGCCACCACTCTCTGCCGCTTGTCCATTCATCCCTCTCCCTGTGGCCCTGCTGAGTTGCCCCGTTCTTTTCTTTTGTTGTTTGTTTTTACTTTCAAAGCTACAAGGATCGGGGACAGACCGTTTATTTCACCCCTTTGCCAATTTTATTATTATTATTATTATTGTTATTTATTTCCCTTTCCGTGTGTGTCCAGTTGCTCGTATCGAGAGTAAAATAAATAAATAAATAAATCTGGAAAGAAAATGCCTGAAAATACGGGCATACATACAAGTCCCCCCCAACACCCTGAAGTACATGAGAAGAAAGCAGAGAGAGAGTGAGAGAGAGTGTGTGTGTGTGTGAGAGAGAGTGTGAATATATGGTTTTTCGTGCATTCCCTTCTCGCCAGAGGTGCGGAAAGGGTTATGGCGGCAATGATGAGAAATACACAGCGGACATCCCTGTCCAACATCAAAAGCAACAAATGTGACGTCGTGTTTCCCACACGAGAAGGTCATTCCGATGACAACTCATTTCCCTCTTGCCGCGGTGGAGCCGCAAACCGCTGCAGATGTGCCAAAGGCGGCACCGGCAGTTGATTCCACTCCACTTGTGTGGCCGCATCTGTTTGAATTGGTGGTGGGGCGAATTCCATAACCGGCAATGCCACCTGGTCATCCCTCGCACAACCCCACGCCTCTTCTTCGCTCACCTCCTCTGACTCCAGGTACGGCATGCCTGGTATCAGATGCGGGTACTCGCCACGGGCATTCGGCACCGCCACTCGCGGCACGGTGTCCCCAGGAATGATGTAATACAACAAACACGGCCGTTCCGGAACATATGGCAGCGTCTTGTGATCCCAACGACAACGGCGCACATTAGGCATCGAGTATGCCCCTCCTTTTGTTTGTTTGTTGCCGTCCCTCGTTGGTCGTTGGGGAAATCCCGAGCAAAAAAGAAAGCAAGAAGAGGAACCACAGAGGGATGGAGAAGAAGAAGAAAAAAAAAAAAAAGCGGGCATTTGAACACGTCGTGCATAAACCAACTGCATTCTACAATGGAATTCACATCCATACAAAGAACGTGTGAAGTAAATTTGCGTATTTTATTTGATGTGAAATATTCATAGTGCTGAAAAACGTCAAACCGCTTTCTGACAATTTTGTGAAGTTGATTTTACAAAAATAATAAAAATGCAGTGCACGGTACAGGGAGCAAGAATTGATTCCCCTTTGCGTCTCACAGCCATCAAAAAAGAAAAAAAAAAGAAAAAACAAACAATACCAAAAAGAAAAAAAAAAGGTTATCCTTCTGAACATGCAGAATAATAATAAAGACATCACAACAATTCTCTCCCTCTCCCTCCTTTTTTTAAAAAGCCACAGGGCACCTTCCACTTGATCCACGCGGAAATACGGAGAAAGGCAATTTCATATTTCTGGAAATATGACATTTAATAAATTTGACTTCCGCCTCCCTCCCCCACTCGGCCCCTTTTTGTCCTCCTCTCCGCATTTCGTGCAGCCCCACAGCAAAACCAGGGAAATTTCACCCCTTTACCCTGCCATCTCAAGCCGCATACGCCGGCACCATATCCAGCAGGGAGGAAAATCGATATTTATCCATCGTCTGTGTGTGTGTGTGTATGCATGTGTGGGTGAATGCGTTCAACACCAAACAACACCCAAATCACACGAAAAGCGAGAAGTTTGCACTCAACGAGACGCACTGAGCAGCCAAAAGGAGACAACAGAAAAATGCTACCGCCTGCTGAACACACTCGAATCCGCTCCTTCCTCTTCCTCATCCTCCTCCTCCACTTCCTCGTCGGCCTCGGAAGTGACCGCAGGGCCTTCTTGTTTGGCACAGCCCTTTTCGTGAATTGCCGGCGCAAGACTTGCCAAAATTTCTTCAAAACTGCGGCCCGTTGATCCGCCACGCAGAAATTGACCCTGTTGCCCGTCGCCGCTGCTCGCCTTGTAAAGTTGACGGCCGGCGCCGGTTTCCCCGCTCTGGTCAGTCGCGGCGGTCTTTGGTACCGCTCCGACGTCATGCACGACGCCCGTGCCGTCCGCATTGGCATATGTTCCACTGACAAGATTCCTCAGCCACACACGCGTCGTTGCCGCATCGTACGCCCCGGAACCTGCGGATCCTCTCGCTGCCGCACCGTCATCTGTGGCATCAGCTGTGGCGTCCTTCTCAGCATCCAACTCCTCGGTGTTGCAGCTTTCGGCATCACCGAGATCGCGGGAACGCTGCCACCGCTTCTTGTGTTTCTCCGCCTCCGCACGTATGGGGTCAAACTCCTCCACGGGCCTGGAAATGTCCAGAAGAAGATTGTTGTCCTCCACTGGATCTCCCTCCTGGCGTTTTCGCTCTGTCAGACACTCGCCACCGCCAATAGCACGACCCATCTCAAGAGCATCCACATCCCCGGGCTGTCCCGAGCCCCACAGCTTTATTCTCCTCGCCAGGCGACGGTAGCTGTAATTGCGGCAGTAGCGAGTCAACAAGTATACCAGAAATACAACGGGGAAGATGAGTAGAAGAAGCAATAAAAGAAGAAAATCGGAATCATCCTTTTTGTCATGTTTGAGATGGTCGTCGTTGTTGGCGTCAGCAGAATGCGATTCCCGTAGCATGCCCATTAACTATAGAGCGAACAGACACTCCTTGCTTACAAGCCAGTGCACAGGGAAGGAAACGAGAGGGCGCACCGGCATTCACAACACAAGCAACGAACTGTTGTCCATCTCCACTCACAGAAATAATAACCACGAAAACAACATCAACATAAAAAATTAAAAAAAAAGGAATGTGCAATGGATTTCGGTTCTTTTTTTTTTTTTTTTTTTTTTTTTTTTTAAGACAAAAGGAGTGAGGAATGTTTCCTTGTTTCATCTTGCGTCTTTCCACTCCTTCCCCACCCACCCACCCCCCGCTAAGCGAAGGCGTAACTGCAACGGTGGTAAAAATTTCAGGAACAACACTAATGCGAAGACTGTGGTAAGTATTCTTTGTGCGGGAGCGTGGATGCCGCCGTCGCCGCTTCCATTGCCTCTCGCATCACCCTAGAAAAAGCCCCTCTTCCATCCCTGTTCAGGGAAATAGAGTGGGAAGAAGAAACCACAGGAAGTGTGGGTAGAGAAGAAATGTCCATCGAAGATGTTTTGCCGTCAAGATAGGACATCATCGAGCCGTTTGCGGTAGGTGCATATAACATTCCCGCGGGATCAGAGCCAGGTTTGCGTCCACGCAAACTCCCCGTGGCACTGGATCGGGAAAAAGTCAAGTCTCGATTTTTCCGGTGCAGCCCACAGCCGTCTTCTATTTCGCCTTCCTGAGAGACACGACAGCGAGGCACAGAGGAGGTGAGAAGAAAGCCTTCACTTTGCCCAAATGTCGCATCCAACACCGCTCGTTTGCGTTGCTCTATTGCCTCCTCCAGACGCACCTCAAGTTGCCTCAACTGACTAATCATCTCATGACGCTCCATTTTGATGCCTGTAAGGGTTTCCTGTTCCTGAATGGAAAGATTCTGCTGGCTCCATTTAACCTGCTGCTCTATACAATGAACACTCTTGAGGAGTTTCGCCTCCTCCGCTTCAAGATCCCGAATACTGGCAAGAAGTGTATCCCGCTCCTCCTCAGCCAACTCGGCAGAATGCGATGAAGCCTCTCGCATGCGTGCAGCATGTCGCCTCTTATTTTTTTCAACACGAATTTCTTTTGCCACCTCCATCTGCATGATACGACGTGCATGGTCCTCACACATGTAAACCTTTTGTCGTGCCATGTCTTCCTCTAACCACACCTCTGCATGCTCGAGAATCAGCCACCCACGCAGTTCCGCCTCAAAAGAATATGACAGAGAAACAAACGCAATCTCGTCGTCGTCTGTGGCATTGCCAGTGAAGCCCGTTTGCCTCACACCCGAAGAGGGAATTCCATACAGCGCCGTACGAAGAATACTTAACGCCTGATTTCGTGTCGTGTGTTCTATTCGATCTGTCATGTCCCATTTAGACGCCATGAAACCGTCATGTGACGGCCACTCCGCTTGCGACTTCGCGAGCCTTGACGGCACTCCATTTGCCTGAAACGGTGAGAGACCATCACACGGGGATTCCTTAACGTTTAGCAAATTCGAACCATTCGCGGGGGCATCCAGTGCCACACGTCTCCTAAACATATCCCGCACCTGCTCATGAAACGATGCCGCTCCCTCCAAGGGAATGTTGTATTGGTGGTCCTTCCAGGCACCAAAAGAAGAAGCCGCGGCGGTTGTGGTGGCCAAATTAACGTTCGTGGCTGTTGAACTCATTGATGATGTGAGCAAGCCCCTGTGATCATTTTGCGGACCGGTCAGAAGAAACCCGCAAGATTTTTTAGGAGAGGGGGACGGCGAAGAAGCAGTCGACGGGGGGTTGCCAGACCGCCACGGCCGAGCCGGTGAATTCTTTTCAACTTCCACCCCCTCGTTCCCCTCGTTCCTCCCGCTCGGTCCCTCCTGCCATTTTCGCTGGGGACTCGCGAGGGCATCCACAGCCGTGGGCCCGCCGCCCTTGCAAAACCCCATCCGGCGGAAAAGAATGGGCGACGTGTACACAAACGATCCCTCGCGCACAGAAGACACGGCGCCGCCCCTCCCATGCATTCACCCTCCCGCTGAGATCACTCTCGCCGCATCGCCGACACCGTCCCACCAAATTAAAAGAAACAATAACAAAAAAAAAAGGCTGTGGGTAAAGAAAAAGGAAAGAAACGCACACACACGGACGCACGCATCCGCCACTACACAAAAGGGCAAAAAAAAAAAAAAAGTACACCAATAAATTCAAAAACGGTGAATTATTGGGCAGAATCACCAGCGTGAGACAGCCTCCTTGTTGATAGGGCGATGCCACGCTTGTCCGGTTTCCTGCAACCTCCGCTGCAGTTTCTCCCTATCTGCTATTTTGGCCCGTGTCCACATCACCTCTGCCACATGTTTATTGTCAAGATACGCCATCCAGTTCTTCTTCAACAAGCGTCTCTCATCCATAGACGTATAGGGTGCGGGCACATCCAGTGGCAATGTTACCTTCTTTGCACCCGGTGCGCCACGCGGTCGATACTGCGGCCCATGCAGTGCAAAGTACCTCTTGCCACGCAGCGTCAAAGCCCATGACTGGCCCTGAGGACTATTCAGCCACTTCTTCTCCCACTCTTGTCGGGCGCGAACCTCATCAACCGGAATATGTGCCTTAGCGGCCGGAATGGTGCGATATGTCGTCGGCGTCGGGCCCTGACCCATATGCAGTGTCCCACCAACCGTCTCTACGGAGTCTTCCGGTACCGTGTAGAACTCGGGGTTGTCGCGGATACCCATCACAATCGGCTTCAGGTCCTTTAGAAATTGCTTGTAAATGTTTATCTCCGCCTTCTCCATCAAGCGTCGGCCCTGAGCACAGGCATCTGCGTAGGCTGCCAAAACAAGTTGCTGTTGACGGTATGACGAGAGCTCCTCCAAACATGGGTTCACTCGCACGCGCTTCAGGTATCCTGCGGGGGTCGTAACAACCTCCACCCGACCTTCCCACGCGCGGCCCACCACTTCCATACGGTCAAAACGAATCTGGTGCTCGTACTTGTTATTATAGACATAGGCTAAAATGCGGTGAAACTGCCGCTCCGGCATAAGACGGCCATGGTGTGCCCATAGAGCCCCACGCACACGCTCAGTGATGCGTCGATACACTTCCATTCGACACTTTTCTTCTCCCACCCCCTTCTCCACCCACACACAACACACACACACACACACAAAAAAAAAAAAAAAAAAAAAAGGCTACCGCCCCTTTAAAAAAGCAACAATAAGAGAAGAAGAATACGTTGCGAAAAAAAAACAATAAAGAAGGACATCATAGTTTTTAAAAAGAGTCACGCGTACGCTTAATTTCGCTCTCACATTATTTCTCTGTGTGTCCGTACCAAAATCCTCATCGCGAAATCGGTGCCAGATCCTCTTCCTCCACTGTTGTGACATCGCCGCAGTAAAGCGCCTCCAACTCCATGTCCACCTCTGTGTAGCCGGGCTGTGTGACAACGTACGTGCGTCGGGGAGAAGCAAAGCGTTCTAGCGCCTCGTCACCACACACTCGCTGGCGCAGCTCATGCTCACCATCTTCATACCTCTGAATGGCTCGGTAAAAGGCGTCAATGAACCTTGTCTCTTCTTCCTCAGTCCATTTGTTATACCACTCCAAAGGGTAGTCAAAATCCGCCTCTGGCCACACGTTACGGAAAGAACGGACCAATTCCAGAACGGACAACGCATTTTTGGCACGTCGTCCCTTTTTATTCTCAGAATATAAACTGCCATTCCATGAAGACATAGTCTCTGCGTCTTCTTCAATAAACTCCCACTCCTTGGAGGATGGCGTGGGGCGGTCGTGTAATTTGCATTCCGTTTCTTCCGACCCACCACCCATTGCCTGTTTTACCACCGCGTAAAATAATTTTTCTTCTTCTGTTGAAATCAGAAAGGGATTATGGATGCGCTGCAAAACCAAATTACCGTGCATTGACACCATGCTGTTGCTTTCCACATCTTCTTGTGGCAGCATGCAATGCAGCGCCCCCAAAAGTGGTGAAGCATCATGTAGCAGGCGAAAAACCACCAACGACATTATTAGAGCCTCATGGAAGAAGTTAGTCCGCTTGTTGGTGTCCTCAGGCAGCACGGCGGAAAGTCTCTCACGCCCCATCTTACAAAACATGAGGGTAAAAAACAACTCCATTGCATCCCCGCCATCAGAAATTCTATTCCCTGAGCCCACTGCATGGCCCAGCCACGTTCCCACAGACGCCAGGGATATATTCACAAAGGTGAGTTTTGCCACATCACGTGCAAGAAGGGCGATAAACACAAAAGAATCCATGGACGACTGCTGGGAATTCCACCTAAGACGGTAGAACTCCTCAAGAAAAAAACGTAATCGCCGCAGTGAAATAGGATGCTCCCACCACTTTGACAAGGCATCTAAAATTTCAAGGTCGTCGCCCTCGTCGTCGACATCATTATTGCCACGCCCCTCTTCATTTTCACAAAAGATGTGGTTGTTGTTGCCGATGCTAGTTTGTCCAGGATCGCTTTCATTTTCCCTCTCCGTTTGCAGTGCAAGCCACACACAGTGCGCCAGCGGATCCGAGATGGAGAAGCCCAACATTAGCCATCGCAACACTCGCCACCAGAGTGGCAGTCCCTTCGTCAATGGTGCCGTAACACCACTCCGCAAAACCTCCTTCGCGACAACATCACAAAGGGAGGGAGATAAAGTAGGAATTGTGCGACCCAACTCCTTGGAGACTACCTCCTCAAATAACTCATGCATTCTCGGTTGCTCCCTCATCTTGTTGTCATTGCTGTGACCATCATTGTCATCCATGTGGCACGCTAGCTTTTGCAGCCGAATAACGATATCATTTTCCCACCCCATGACAGCAAAGACCAAACGGCACGCATGTCGTTCTTGCAGTAATTTCACAAAATCTCGATACAACATCCCACTGCAGCGTAAAATTGCCCCTTCGTCCACACATGGTAAAGACCAAAGCAGCCATGGGATGTTCGGTGTTCTCATCACCTCGCCCGAACGGCGCAAAAAACGACAGACATCTCGCGAAAACACCACTTGTCGAGGCGATTCATCATTCACCTTCAAGAGTACAAATTTTTGTTGTTGTTGTTGCCGGATGCGTGCTGCAACGAAAGGACCGCTCCATTCCGTCTCCTTCTCAAGGCTTGAACCGGCGGCTATGACATCCAGCCGCTCCTCCAACCACGACAAACTGAACTGGTCCTGCATGTCGACAACGCAGATCACGACATCTGCAGCTTTGCAGTGTGTGCGTAGCAATTCCCGTGGGGAGGAGCCAGGGATGTCGACGACCTTCACGGAGACGGGAATAGCCGCATCTGTGACAGTCAGCACCGCCTCGTTAACGCCCACAAAAGACTGCAAGAGAAATTGCGCGTCATGGCCGACAAAAACGTGTGTTTCACCACAAATTTTTAGCTCTACACGCTGGTGACTCTGAATCTTCGTCGTCGTCTCTTCTCCAAGCAGTGGGGACGGCAGCGGCGACTGTAGAAGGGCAGTCAAAACGGATTTTTCCCCGTCATCCTCCTCACCGTTCCCTTCCACAATATCATCGCCACGTCGCTGAAGCCAATTGTGTAGCGCACGCAGCATATGCGCATCACCCCAACCCCGACTCCATGCCCAAAGCCACTGCACCATCGTTGTTTTCCCGACTGCGGAACTGCCGACAAACACAAAATGCAGCGGCTCCTGACAAAACCGCGCAGAAGCAGCAACAAAAAGTGGCAGGTGGCATTGACCAGCCATTTCCTGTAAAGACGCCGCTCCCTTTTTCATCTTTTCCGGAAGTGAAAAACAAGACGAAAAGAAGTCTTTTTCACTCATTGGTGAGAAGGGACTCCCAAGCGTGACACAACTTTGAAAGCTCGTAGGGGAAATTAATGAAAACGGCAAATGGCAGGAAGCACGTGGGCCGATGCCACAACTGTGAGGATGTCGTTTCATTTGCGTCATTATGTGCGCTCGCCATAACGGTGTCAATGAGGCATACACGGGTAAAAACGAAGTGTTCGAAAGTTCCGTGGGTTGAACGGCTGCAAGCCCAAAAGAATTAAGGTTCGCAGCGAGATACAATAATTCTTCTGCATTCTCTGAAGGCACAACACGAACCCGCCAGAAGAGGGCTTCTCGCTGTCGTTTCGGCAGTTCATCCTCCAGCACAACCCTCGTTTCTGGATAAACAAGACCACTACACGATGACGCTGCCGCCTCCGACGCAAATATTCTTTCCTGAGCCCCCTCACGGTTTGCCGAGGTTACGGTAACACGCACACAAGGCGTTGGTGACATTGCCTGTCGAGAAAAGAGGAAAAACTGCCACCCGGTCTTGGAAGGCACCGCCTTCATCAAAACACCTGGATGATCCACCGAGTGTAAATTCCACCCCGCAGACTCCTTCTTCGATGCATCGTCAGACGAGAGAAAGAAACGGGAGGCGGCATCTGCAGAAGGAGTTAAAAAAAGCTGCAGGGAGCCCCCCAACGCGCACGTGAGTGTTCCCCCTGTTTCAGCGTATTGCATAACAAGCTGCAGATACCAAACCGGCGGCGACGATGATGATGGTGATGAACGAAATGGTGGAGGTTCTGCAAAACTCAACGGTTTCAGTGAAGTATCATCGGCAAAAATACAAAGAAAAATTTGCGCAAAACATCCCTGAATAAATTCCAGTTGCAGTCGAGGCGCGATTTCACCCCTTTCAGAGACGGAATACTTCGTGGATGACTTCGCGACGGGTTCCGAAGCAAGCATCTCAAGCACATCCTCGGAGGAAAGCCGATCCGGGAGCCGCTGTCCCTTCTTTGGGATAGGCAAATCCTCCATTTCTGTAGGAGAACAAAACGATGATTGACGGACGAAGTCGCCGATTTCCTCGTGCGGTAAAAGAGGTGTCATCGAATGCGATGGGAGTGTCGCTTCAAATGGCGTGTGGTTCCAGTCCACCTGCCAACTCCCGTTGTCCTCCTCGACGACAAGCAAACAGCCGGGGGTCAAGCACGGAGCTGTCGCATCACCAGAATATTCCCGCCGGCCAAACAACAACAGGTCCATGGCAGGCTCCACACTGGGAAGTAACAGGCTGCGCTGTAAGCTCCTCCACCAGTCAGCAAACCACGCGGTAGCCTCTGGCGAGGGTAAATCGCGCACAACGGGGGCCTCTTCGCGATGAAACCACAACACGATACCGGGACGCTGCTGAAGAACACTTGCAGAAAGAGAGGCAGCAGCACCGGTAACATGGAGTGCAGTATCGCCAGAAACGTAAATAAACCACTGGGGCGAATTCCATAATTTCAATGACTCCCACGATCCATCATTATTCATCGATGCCATCAGGTGCGTTGAAATCACCTCCACAAGCTGTTCCTCACTCGGCACGTCATTCTTCTCCCCTTCGCCTTCGGCGCCCACTCGACATCCGGACAGCTTCAGTAAGGAACTGTCCTTCTCCTCGCCGCGTCCCAAAAGTAACTGATGTAAACCCGCGTCCCCCGTTAAGATAATCGCCCGCAGAACATTACCACGCGTAGCAGACGACAAAGAAGAAGAGTGCACCTGCAGACATGTACCATCCAATCGCACAAGAGCCTGGCAAATGTCGTCCACGACAGACCACACGTGCCCAGTAGTATCATGACCGCCCGCCACTCCCTGAGAAGAAACTGCCAGCAACAGCACCCGCAATGTCCCCTCCAATCCCCACGAGCTTCGTCCGGTACATGAAGACATCAACACGCACACATGCAAACAGACAAAAAAAAAAACACGTCTTGTTTCTTCTTTTATTCGTCTCTCTTCTCCGCGCAAAAAAAAAAAAAAAGAAGAAAGGGCAAGACAGAGATCTCTTTGAACGTCATCCCCAATACTCTATCACCCTCATACACTCACACGCACACACATATGAGAACAATATAAATGTAAAGCGACTTTCAAAACAACCACTTCACCGGCCCTTCACACGGGACGTCGGCCAATACGTGTTTCTCTCGCCATATCTTTTCCATAGCCCGACCGGCATCGAGCGGTATGATATTTTTGCGGTGCTATTTAGGTGCATCTGCTCCCGGGAACGCAGTGTTTTTGCTTGCCGAATCTCGTTCATGTATTTGGCCGCCGTGACTTCGCCCTCAAACTTCTCAAAGTCTTCAATGACGTTTCCGGCATTGCGAAGATACGCCTGCAAATCCTTTTTCGTCATCCCCCTCATCGCTGCCTCCTGCTTGATACGCTCCCTCTTTTTTCGCAAAACATCAAGTGCGGTCCATGGAGATGTCGGGCAAACGGTCACAGCCTGCTGTGCAAATTGACGTGCAGCCCACTGCGACCGCCGCTTCTCCACGTTACACGGCTCCACAAGAGAGGGGCCAAACTTCTTCCCTGCCTTATACTCGCCAATTCGACCGTCTTCCTCTTCCACAAGGAAACGGGTGACTGACCCCATTTTCACACGCTCACGCCACATTGCCTCCTTTGCACACTGTCTTTTACTCCGGCCCATCTGTTTATCCCGACTCGCATACTTCTCCAGAACTCCTAAAAAACAAGAGACAACACCATTGGTTTGTTGACGCACCACCGAAACTCCGCCCGTCCTACCCAATCCAATCACTGCGGAGGGCAAATCCGCTCTCGTTGGCGTCGTCTTTCCGTATTCTTCATCGTTCATCGCCGTGTCCCCCGTTAAAACTGTGGGGTTGATGGAGCGCAGATTATTTTTTTCCTCCTCCTGGACGTGAGTCAAGCCCTTTTGGGGTGCTGCCGCAAAGCACTCGCCACCTTTCACAACATCACTATCATCCTTGAGGTTAGCCTCCATGTACGGCAATTCGAGCCACTCTGAATCCGGTCGTTCAAGTCCTGTGTTCAGGCGAAAGGTGCCATATTCGGACTTATACCGATGAAGCGGATTTGTTTGACGCCACGCCAAGAATCGCTGCCTTCGCCGTGCCTTCTCACTCTCTTCAACGTCTCCAAGATGGTAGCTTGCGTCACGCATGTTGTCTTTGTTCTTCTTCATCATTTCGTTACTGTCCTCCGAGTGAAACAATAGCAACGGTTCGTCAGCCGACGCGGACATGGGAGCATTCATGGCAGCTTTGTCATTGCCACCCAGAGAAAGCACATATTTTTGCGCATTCATTTGTATCGGGAGCGATGGTGCGGTGCCTGCTGAAGAATCTGGTGGGTTTTGCCTTTCGTCTCCCTTTAGTGCTGTAAAAAACGCCTTCGCTTTTTGCGTCCCCACACGGTTGGCCTCCTGTAAACGTCTCGTTTCTTCCTTCAATGCCGCATCCATATCGGCATCCGCCTTGGCCTTCAACATCTGTCGCAGCCGATCGCCTGGGATGAGGCCGGAGGTTTCTGCAATCAAACCGCGAAGGAGTTCAACGTTGGTCCCGTCCTTCGCGGAGGTGGGGAGGATAAACGGAAACACTTTCCGGTATTTACGCCGGTACTTCGTGATGGTCGCATAAATCTGTCGCATGACAGAACACACACGCGAGTGTGGTACAGAGTCGCACTTCGTCAGGACTATAAAAAACACACCATGAAGGTTTTCTAGCCAAGTAAAGTAACGCAAATCCACCTTCGTGAGTCCACGCTCACAGTCAATGCAAAAAAGCACGGTGTTCACAGAACGCCGTACGCCCAGGTAGGCATCTGTGAGGGCGATCGCCTTGTCACGCCAATGATCCGACATGCCCTCTATGCCGAATCCGGGAACATCCACAAATGTCAACTGAACACCACCGCCAGGGAGCTTCACCAAGCCGTTGCCCTTCACATTGAGGTACCGCTGCATCTCCTCCGGTGACACACTCTGGTAAAAGGAAATTTGTCGGGTCGTGTTCGGTGTACTACTTGTCTTGGCAAGCGTTTGCCCGAGAAGCGCGTTTAACAGACTCGACTTTCCCGCACAGGCCTTGCCGACCAAAACAATCTCCTGATACAAATCGTTCACCTCAAAAAAGAAATTGTGATTATCATACAATGTTGGCTTTCTTCGAGCACGCCGTTGTTGTCCTCTCACTGTAGTAGAGCTGGCGTCCGCATCCTCGCGCAACAAACCTGCCTGCCGCACCAGTGTGTATTGCTGACCCAGCATGACCTTGTTTCCGAGTTGTTTGGCCTCCTCCGTTATTTTTCCAAAGCTCAAAGGAGGTGGTGGGACCAGCTTCTCCTTGTATGTGTAGTCTGACGGGTTAGGGTGCGTCATTTCATACAACACACGACGTCGCTGAGCAACAAGCCGCTCCCGTTCCTCCTTGAAGGCATCCGTTACTAAATCAATCACATCTGAACCCACACCACGTGCCGCCGGGTGATGCTCACAGAGCCGCTCGCGCTCCGATGAGGCGGCCACCTCGCACAGTTGCCTCGCGTGAACGCCGTCCAACACGATGTCGTCATCCACCGCATCCGCGGAGAGACACAACGCATCCGCGGTGGGTTCTGGTACCATCTCCAACAATGCCTGTTGCGTTGCGTGACGTGGCCTTCTCGATGGGGCTGCCGGCAAGGCAGCGAGAGACGGGCCGTCCGCCACCTTCCGCGCGACAGACTGCTGCTGGGCGTAGCGCGGAGGGCTGCGTAGCGGCATGCGCCCAAGAAGATCGAAGGTTATGGAAGAGGCGCACCGCCATGTTGGCGCTTTGAAAAGCATCCAAACGTCTCTGATGCCGTCACCCCGCCGCTGCAGATGACGTCAAAAAACAAGAAAAAGAAGGGAAAAAAAAAAAAAAAAAATCCAAAGAGCACAAATGCACGCAAATATTCACCACAAAACGAGTCAGCACCGCAAATGAACGCGTCTTCCACCCGTGGTCCACGCATAGCCACAGAGAGAGAGAGAAAGAGCGCGCGGTTGACGATGGAATTGTGGACACACCAATCGTCTGTTGCTGCTCATACACACCGCATGCGGGTACAGACACAAAACAACACACGTACACAAACACTCAAACAATCAAATTTGAAACTTCTACTCACTACTAATTAAGACGTAGTGAGAAAAAAACAACAAGGAAAAATACACACACACACACACACATATTTTCTCTTCTTCTCAACGTGCTTCTGTTTTTATTTCTTTCTTTTTTTTTTTTTTTTCCGTTTGTGTGTGTGTGTGTGTATTTTTTAACTCCTTCCTTAATTTTGGTTGCGCTGATAATCGTATTTTTGACCTCCTCTCATCCTCCCATTCACCCCCCGTGTCTCGGTAGTCATCGGCACAGAAGAGAGCAAACATGTGCGCACAAATCACACCAATATATAAGTATGTGTGCATTGCATGCATGCGTGTACACATGTGGACTCAAATCAGCCTCGTCTTGCCTTTTTTTTTTTTTTCTCCCCGCCCCACTTTTGCTCCTCCCGCTGCCTCTCAGAAAGAAAAAAAAGGAGAGGCGCCACGGCAAAGAAAGACGGACGGGAGGTGGTCACAAATACAAAAAAAAAAAAAAAACACGTCCACCCCACACACACAGAGAGAGAGAGAGGCAGAGAGACGCATGCATAATAATAATAATAATAATAATAATAATAATAATAATAACAGAAAAAAAAAAAAAAATTTAACCAAATAAATAAATAAAATTCATTAACGGAACAAAACATCAGTGTCGCCAAAATTGAGAGGAAAAAAAGAAAAAAAAAAAAAAATGGTTTTCTCGCGTCAATGGCTCACATTGCAATGTGTTTTATTCCTTCCTTGTTGTTGTTTTTTTTTTTTTTTTTTTGCCATTCAACCTTCCTCCCGCAATGTGTCTTCAAAGGTCTCAGTGTGTATTTCAATTCGTTGCTTCAAAAAATATTTTTGCCCCACACAAACACACACCTCCTCCTAAAAGAGGCATATAATCCAAAGTTACAAGAAAACACATAACGTGTGCCACTTTATGAATGAACAGTAATTCCCCTCCCCCTCTGCATTCATTCATCCATACATACATATATATATATTGTACACATATAATACTTACATGCATAGTTGCTGTATTTGTTACACTCAATGCCTCCTCCTCCTCCTCCGTCGGCAGTACCACATGTCATTGGTTTCATCCCAACCTTCTCCGTACGATATCCATTTCTTTCCGTCCCTTGTATTCTTCTCATGTATCGTCTCTCATTTCATGTTCCACCAACTTCCCTCTCTATTGTTGTTGTTGTTGTTTTTTATTCCCCCTCCACCCCAATGTGTTTAAAAAAGTTACGTCAATATGATGTAATATATATATAATGTATTCTGCTTCTTTCCCATCCTTCTCCTCCCTCATTTCCTATGTTGTGTCACGTTTTTTGTTGTTGTTTCTTTCATTTTCTTCTCAGTTTCTTTTTTGTTTGTTGCTTTTTCATTTCCCGTAGGGTAATAAATAAAAAATAAAAAAAAATAAAAAATTAAAAAAAAAAATTTTTTTCTTTCGGCCTGAATGTTTGCGGACGTATTATTTGGCGGTGACCGTCTCGTTTTCGTGACTACCGCCCCGCCGTCCCGCAGTGGCCCTCACACACGCCTCCACACACACACACACACACAGCGAGGCGTACCTCGCGACTCCCCTCCCCCCACCCCACATGTCGTCGTGTCTCTTCCCCGGCGTTAATTGTCCCCTCCTTTTTATTTGACTCCTTTCTTCTCACTAAAAGTAAAAAAAAAGAGGGGTGCGGAGAAATGTTGTTGTTGTTGTTGTTAGCTGCCTTGCAAAACTGTCACTTCGCTCCCCCCGCCGTGTCTCCCTTTTTTTTTTTTTTTTTTTTTATCCCATCCAACGAAACCCCCTTCCCACCACCGTCCCCTGCGAAAGTGAAAACGATGGGGGGTCAAAAATCCTGCACCTCCTGTCCTGCCAACAATTTCGCTGCGGCACAACAACAACCACAGAATCCCTCAGTACCTCAAGCCAAGAGTTCATGATGACGCGCGCGGGCGTACAGCATGACACGCTGAAGATCCTGCTTGAGTCCCTTCAGCTGGTCGTTCTCCCGTTCAAAGAACGCCCGTAACTCACGTGCCTCCTTACCGTTGTCCTCCATCACCTGCAGCTGCTCCTCCAGCTCGCTCTGTTCCTTGGCGTAGCTGCGCTTGTTGTCCTCCAGCTCACGTTTGGCCCCGTTCACCCACTCCGTCAGATCTTTGCACTCGTCCTCCAGCAAAACGACATCACCAAACTGCCTTGACTCATCTTTGTAAACACGGCCCTTCATTATATCCTGCTCCTTCAGGGAGGGCACATGACGCTGCTTCACGTGTGTGCCACGACGGAAATGGTACCGCTGATCATCATCCAGTTGCTTTAGTCGAGAGCGGGTCTCAACAAGCTTCGCCATCTCCACCCCAACGCTTTCAAGCAGCTTGGCCTTGGCCTTGTCGCGTTCTTCAGTGTTCTTGTTGATCATGTCCTCCTGTGATGCGTAAACTTTGGCAGCAGCATTACTTGCCGCCTGGAGCTTCCCCCTCGCAGCCTCCACACGCCGAGACAAGTTATCAAGATCCACTTTTGTCCACGAAGACGGATCCCCAAGACTCTCATTGGGCCTTTCCCGGCACACACTCGTCCAAACCTGCTGCACATGGGACTGCTGTGCCTCCTCTTCGGCAGAATTGAGGTCGCGTTCAACGGCATTACCGTGCTTTTCTGCAAACACATTGATGGAATCAAGCTGCCGTCTCACCCGCTCCGTTTCTTCCTTCACAAGCCGAAGCTCCTTGCGCAGGCCAATGACTTCGCTGTACACCTGCAGCTGTGACTCAACAGCCTTCTCACGCGCCTCCAACTCTCTCAGCTCATTCTCTTTTTCCTCAATGCTGGCAAGAACAAACCGAATAGAACTTCGACGACCAGGAGCAGCACCACTCGCACTTGAATGCACCTCCGACTCCTGCACCGCGGCTTCACCGAGCTCCCTGTAGTCAAACTCGGCGGCAGCCTCCGGAGCATTCACCTCCTCGGGCACTTCTTCCTTGTGTTCACTGGCAAGGCCGGCTTCGGCTTCACCGAGCTCCCTGTAGTCGAACTCGGCGGCAGCCTCCGGAGCATTCACCTCCTCGGGCACTTCTTCCTTGTGTTCACTGGCAAGGCCGGCTTCGGCTTCACCGAGCTCCCTGTACTCAAACTCGGCGGCAGCCTCCGGAGCATTCACCTCCTCGGGCACTTCTTCCTTGTGTTCACTGGCAAGGCCGGCTTCGGCTTCACCGAGCTCCCTGTAGTCGAACTCGGCGGCAGCCTCCGGAGCATTCACCTCCTCGGGCACTTCTTCCTTGTGTTCACTGGCAAGGCCGGCTTCGGCTTCACCGAGCTCCCTGTAGTCAAACTCGGCGGCAGCCTCCGGAGCATTCACCTCCTCGGGCACTTCTTCCTTGTGTTCACTGGCAAGGCCGGCTTCGGCTTCACCGAGCTCCCTGTAGTCAAACTCGGCGGCAGCCTCCGGGGCTTTTTGGGCCCGTATCCCAGCTAACTCCTTTGGGGAGCCGCTCTCCTGCCTCTGCGTCTCAACATTTGTCTCCATTTCGCTCTCGATTCCTGTGCTGAGCTGTTCTTCTGTTTTGTCCTGGATGATTTGCTTACCTAGTAACTGGTAGATGTCCTTTTACTTCCTTTTAGAATTTTGTGTGTTTGTTTGTTTGTTTGTTTGTTTCGCCTTGTTCTCCACTACGTTGTCGTGAAAACGCAAGAGGCGGGGGAGGATGGTGCAACACAGTTGCGAAAAGGCACAAGAAACAGCAGAGGGCGGCAAATCGGAAAGCAAGTGCGGCGCCACACGGTGACACAAGTGCCCCGCGTTCATTTCACCACTAAGCCCGCGGGTGTACCCACCGCTGCTGCGTCCCCGGCCCTGCCTCGCCCCAGAAGCAGCATCGGCTGAGGGTTCCCCACGCAGCATGATGGATAAAGAGTTCCGTAAGCTGCTCCCCTCAATCGTTCTTTACATGCACGTCTCTTTTGAAGGGGTCGTTGTTACCACCTCCCTCTTTCGCTCTCTCTCTCTTATTCACTCTTTTACTCACACTGGGAGAAACATACGTATAAATAAATAAATAAATAAATAAATGCAGTATTTCATACATGCCGCGTTCTCCCAACTCCACCCACGTCATGCCGCACAGACCTCAAGTTCAATACATTGCCTGCCCACGCACTCACGCAAATAGTCATCTACAAGAAATTCCGAAAACAAAACAAAAATGCAGAAGTACGAGCGATACCCCCCTCCTCCACAAACACATCTCAAAAGCAAAAAAGGAAAAAAAAGAAAAAAAAAAAAAAAAGAAACATCGCTGGAAGAAGCAAGAAATCAAAAAAACAGAAAGCAAGAATGGAAAATACTAAATAAGTATCCAGGTGGAACAGTAATAATAATAAAAAAGAACCACGCAAGACCTCATAAGTTTATATACCGAAACCCACAAAACACACAAAAAACAATAGTATATATAAGCATAGAAAACAATACACGACAATTTTTTTTTTTTGTCTTCTTTTAAGGGACACGGAAAAACATCTAAAAAGTGCAAAAAAAAAAAAAAAAAAAAAACCGTCCAAATTCCTAATAAGCCTCGCTTCACAATAGAACCTCCTCATCCTCCAGCACACAAAGTGACGCATACACACATATATATATATATATATATAACAACCTTCATGTGTCTGGCCTGTCAGGGTCCGAACCACACAACAATGAGCCCAGAATACATCTATATATATATACATATATATATACGGAAAAAACAACTTTGTATAGAAAAAAAAAAATGTAAGCAATCCAATACTACCTCAAAAGAAAAACAAGACGGGCGGTTTATATCCAACAGTAAAAGCAAAGAAGAAATATAACCAAGAGTACCAAACACCCATATTTGTCTCAAATGCCTCTGAAATAGCAAACAAAGAACATCGCACAGCTTCCCTTTTGGTCCCATTTCTTGACATAACTGTTGAAACCAGCAATTGCCTTCTCATCTTAAGTAAACGCCTCACGGTTGCGCATGCGGACGTAGATCAGCACGTGCTGAAGATCCTGCTTGAGTCCCTTCAGCTGGTCGTTCTCCCGTTCAAAGAACGCCCGTAACTCACGTGCCTCCTTACCGTTGTCCTCCATCACCTGCAGCTGCTCCTCCAGCTCGCTCTGTTCCTTGGCGTAGCTGCGCTTGTTGTCCTCCAGCTCACGTTTGGCCCCGTTCACCCACTCCGTCAGATCTTTGCACTCGTCCTCCAGCAAAACGACATCACCAAACTGCCTTGACTCATCGTTGTAAACACGGCCCTTCATTATATCCTGCTCCTTCAGGGAGGGCACATGACGCTGCTTCACGTGTGTGCCACGACGGAAATGGTACCGCTGATCATCATCCAGTTGCTTTAGTCGAGAGCGGGTCTCAACAAGCTTCGCCATCTCCACCCCAACGCTTTCAAGCAGCTTGGCCTTGGCCTTATCGCGTTCTTCAGTGTTCTTGTTGATCATGTCCTCCTGTGATGCGTAAACTTTGGCAGCAGCATTACTTGCCGCCTGGAGCTTCCCCCTCGCAGCCTCCACACGCCGAGACAAGTTATCAAGATCCACTTTTGTCCACGAAGACGGATCCCCAAGACTCTCATTGGGCCTTTCCCGGCACACACTCGTCCAAACCTGCTGCACATGGGACCGCTGTGCCTCCTCTTCGGCAGAATTGAGGTCGCGTTCAACGGCATTACCGTACTTTTCTGCAAACACATTGATGGAATCAAGCTGCCGTCTCACCCGCTCCGTTTCTTCCTTCACAAGCCGAAGCTCCTTGCGCAGGCCAATGACTTCGCTGTACACCTGCAGCTGTGACTCAACAGCCTTCTCACGCGCCTCCAACTCTCTCAGCTCATTCTCTTTTTCCTCAATGCTGGCAAGAACAAACCGAATAGAACTTCGACGACCAGGAGCAGCACCACTCGCACTTGAATACTCCTCAAACTCCTGCACCGCGGCTTCACCGAGCTCCCTGTAGTCAAACTCGGCGGCAGCCTCCGGGGCTTTTTGGGCCCGTGTCCCAGCTAACTCCTTTGGGGAGCCGCTCTCCTGCCTCTGCGTCTCAACATTTGTCTCCATTTCGCTCTCGATTCCTGTGCTGAGCTGTTCTTCTGTTTTATCCTGGATGATGTGCTTACCTAGTAACTGGTAGATGTCCTTTTACTTCCTTTTAGAATTTTATGTGTTTGTTTGTTTGTTTGTTTTGCTTTGTTCTCCACTACGTTTTCGTGAAAACGCAAGAGGCGGGGGATGAGGATGCAACACAGTTGCGAAAAGGCACAAGAAACAGCAGAGGGCGGCAAATCGGAAAGCAAGTGCGGCGCCACACGGTGGCACAAGTGCCCCGCGTTCATTTCACCATTAAGCCCGCGGGTGTACCCACCGCTGCTGCGTCCCCGGCCCTGCCTCGCCCCAGAAGCAGCATCGGCTGAGGGTTCCCCACGCAGCATGATGGATAAAGAGTTCCGTAAGCTCTTTCCATCTCAATGTCTCTGCAGAAGGCTCTCTCAGTGGGAAGATCGTTGTTACCATCTCCCTCTTTCCCTCTCTCTCTTATTCACTCTTTCACTCACACTGGGAAAAGCATACACGTTTCTGCGCACTTGCGTGTGTTGCGTTCATCCTTCTCACCTTCTTGCCCCCTTTCTTTTCACCCGTTCCCACTTCTCTGCTTCACCTCACAGCTCTTTCATCATAACAACTTACTCTTGTTGCTTTTGCTGTTGCTGTTTTACTTTACGCACCCACATGGCTGTGCCTTATTTTTCTTCTTTTGCTCATTCGTACTCCTTCTTTTCACTGCACTGCAGCCTCTTTTTTTTTCTTTTCTTTTTTTCTTTCTTTCCTTTCTTCTACCTATCACATCCAAAGAGGTCCCTTTTTGCTTTTTTTTTTTTTTTTTTGGTGTTGAAAGAAGATTTATTGCCCCCCGACACAAAAAAAAAAAAAAAAAAAAAAAAAAACGGTGTGCAGGAACAAATAATTTTTTTTTAAATCGAAAAAGGGGGCGTGGCAGGGCATGCAATACGCTCTTGGCACACTGGGCTCATCGTCGGGGCCTCGGTGGCTGGTGTTTACCCTCCGCTTGCCGCATCGATTACCCCAAATCCTTTGCTTCAGCGCACACCCGTGGCATGCCGCGGTGGGCGAGGCGGCGGCGGTACAAAACACACAGAAGGACGGCAGGCCGCACACACACACACACCAACAGTCCAAACCGAGCAGTGAGCCGTGTGCTTGCGGAGGTGCCATCAAACACCCACCCACCCCCCAATAAAAAAAAATATATTTTTTTCTCAGGGTTTGATCACATGAAGCCTCATGAAGGTGAGTGAGTGTGTGTGTGTGCAGCGCTGCCGTAACCCACAGACAGACCCAAAAGCACGATAATGACGTGTGAATTATTTAAATAATAATGACAATAATAAAAGCAAAAAAAAAAAAAAAAAAAAAAAAAACAAATACACAAATCTCCCGTCACACAACTTCCCGTTGCCTCTTCCTTCCACCCCATCCCCATCCCCTCTTCTCAACCCCTTTCTTTCTGAACATCACCGCTGCATGCATGCAAGTAGTGTTGGAAGAATGCAGTTGTGTATTTAAATGTACATATACATATTTAACCGTGCATACATAAATATTTGTCATCGACACAGACAAGGTAGATGGAAATAATAAAACAACAAGTCAGAATGTACGCAGCGTTCTACGATGAAAAGAAAAAAAAAAAAAAAAAAAAAGCGTACATATTTATGGCATAAAAAGAGCATCACCGGGCATTCGTCATGCGTGCTCGAGTCTTCTCCCTCCGTACGGTTTCCCTCCACACAAACACACAGGTTTTGGTTTTGTTTTTTTGTTTTTTTCACCGCGTACATTTCATGCCCTTTTCTTCCCCCACTCCATCGTCATTGATGCCTCATGTATTCGTTTCGGCTGCCACAAGGAGGGGCGTAACGGCGCAGAAGCATAAGATGCTGCATGCATGCACATACAAACATACACGCATAATTCAATCATGTGCGTGAACCCCCCCCCCTCCCTCTCTTTCATCCCTCCACTTTCCCCGCACCAAAACACAAACAAACAAAAAGAAAAAAAAAGAGTGCAAGAATAAACGCATATATAAAGGCATGCCAATAAAAAAAAAAAAAAAAAAGGATCTCAACCGCACTTATATTGCGGGTAGAGAAGGAGGGAAAGTGAAAGCGTAAATGAAGTTTTCTTTTCTCTTTTTTCCTCAGCATGCGCGCTGCCGCCTTCAGCCGTCGCACCGGACGGCGGTTGCTGCTGCCGCTCTCCTCCTCTTCCTCCCATTCAACGATGCGGCAACGACACCACAAAAACTGACGAGCGTCTTTCACGTGCCTCCAGCCGAGAAGAGAAAAGAAGAAAAAAGAAAAGGAACAAACAAAACAACAGCCGCAGAGCCGTGATTGCCGCAGAACCAACGCACATCGCCCCGGGCTGCGTCCTCAGTGTTGCCCCACCACCACTCGGCGCCCTTTTAAACCTCCCACGCCACTCCGCCCTCACAACCCCGTTTTTTTTCTTTTTTTTTTTTTTTTACGCCTCATTCCACCACCCGCCCCGACTCCCTTCCATAAACACAAACACACATCTGCCACGCCACCCAAGAAAAAAGAAAAAAAAAAAAAAAAAAAAACAGAAAAAAAAACCACGACGAACAGCCGCATCCAATTCTCTCCCCCACACTGTAAAAGGCACCCCCAACCCAAAATAAAAACAAGAAAGAAAAAAAAAAAAAAAAAAAAGAGAAAAAGAGAGAGACACAAACGGAAAAAGTGAGAGTTTTGCTTTGTTCTCCACTAAGTTGTCGTGAAAACGCAAGAGGCGGGGGAGGAGGGTGCAACACAGTTGCGAAAAGGCACAAGAAACAGCAGAGGGCGGCAAATCGGAAAGCAAGTGCGGCGCCACACGGTGACACAAGTGCCCCGCGTTCATTTCACCATTAAGCCCGCGGGTGTACCCACCGCTGCTGCGTCCCCGGCCCTGCCTCGCCCCAGAAGCAGCATCGGCTGAGGGTTCCCCACGCAGCATGATGGATCCAATTTGTAACAGGGCAAAAAAAAAAAAAAAAAAAAAAAGAAAAAAGAAAAAACAGGCAGTAATTGTTTAAAAAAAAAAAAAAAGATCAAAGAGAAATAGAGGTGTATTGAACCTGAAAGATGTCGTTCACGGCCTTTTCACGCACAGAAGTCACAAAAGGGAACGGAAGGAAAAGGATACACGCAAAGTAACGCAGGGAGTCGCAGTCCTCCGGTATTGGCGTGTGCTTTCCGTGTTTTCTTGCTAATATTTCTTGGGATCAAAAAGAGAGAGAGAGAGAGGAAGGGGGGACGACGCAAGTAAAAAATGACAACTCAGCGGCTGTATCAAATAAAAACAGCAGCGGAATGGACATTTCGTCACAAGAGCCGCATGCCGCCAATCACATCCGTGTGTGTTCCCCCCTCCTCCCTCTCTTTGATCCCAACAAAGAGTCCAGAAAGCAGTAAAAAAAAAAAAAAAAAAAAAAACAGAATCTGCTCTATTTACTTTTAACATCCACAGAGGCAAATAAATAAAAGCACGCGGAAAAATAAGATGGGGAAGAAACAATAAAAACAGGGTTCATAGAACAGAAAAAAAAAGAAAGAAAAAAAAAAAAAAAGAAAGAAAACGCAAGTCGAATTTTTATTCTATATTCCCCTTTCAGCCCTCACAAAATGTGTGTAGATATATATAGAGAGAGAGAGTGTGTGTGTGTGTGTGTGAGATGTAAACTGGAGATTGAAGGTTTAGCAGAATAATAAACAAAACAAAAAGAAAAGAAAAGAGCAGACTCTACTATCCATCTAATTATCCTCCTCATTTCTCGGGTTTTATAAACAGCCTCATGACAGTGACACTCACCACATACAAATAAATAAATACATACATACATGTAAAACCAGGACATACAAAAAAAGGTCAGATACCATTTCTTCGTAGAGATGTACATAGGCAATGGGCATTTTGTGCGTGTGTGGAGGACGTTGTTGTGCGAACTTCATGTCTCTTTCTTTCTTTTTTTTTTTTTTTCTCATATTAAAAATAAAAGCCCTCCTCCTCCTCCCGTTCGCACACAACTCCCAACAAACCAAACAAAAAAAAAAAAAAAAAAAAGTAAAGTTAACAAAAAAAAAGAAAAGAAAAGTATACTAAAGTAGAGTAGAGTGTGCGTCAAACCAAAAAAAAAAAAAAAAAAAAAAGAATAAGATAGCGGATAATGAAATGTTGGTTTAAATAATAATAATAATAATAATAATAATAATAATCCGAATAAACTGTAGAAACAGAAAAACAACATAAAAAAAAAAAAAAACATACCCGTGAAAGCCATGAAAAAAAAAAAAAAAGGAGGAGGAGGAGGAGGAAAGTGTAGTGCTCCCCCCACCCCCACCACCCCCCATTTCTCCAAAAACAAAAAAACAAGCATAAATATATACATATAAATATGCATGCATGCATGTGTGTTTATGTAGCACACACACACACACCCAGAGGGACAGAAAGAAAGACAGGGAAACAGAGAAAAATAAAAAAAAAAAGCAAATTATACGTGTCGGTAAAAAGGGGTGAATGACTCTCTGTGGGTGGAGCGGCACAATGTCTCTCCAGCAGGGAAGGAAATTGCAACGTCCCTGCAAAACCCTTTTATTTTTATTTTTTTTTTTTTTTTTTTTTTTGTTTCTTCCTTTTTTTTTGTTTTTATTTTTTTTATTTCATGTTGGCGCATAAACTTCTGCCGCAACGGAACCACACATTTCTCCCTTTTCCCCTGCTGTTTCTTTTCTTCTTCCCAAAGAGACACACACACACACAGAGAGAGAGAGAGAGAAAGACAGAAAGAAAGAAAAAGAAAGAGAAATTTTATATATCCACGTGCCTCCTCCTCCTCTCTCTCTCCGCCTCTTTTTTTGTGTTGACGGCTCCACCACACACGAGGGAACCCCTCAAATATAAACAAAAAAACGGAAAAAAAAAAAAAAAAAAAAAAAAAAAACACAAACATAACTTCTCTCCTAACGGAATAACTAAAAAAAAAAATAAAATGGTACATCTACGTACATGTCTACATATGATATATACATGCATTTATACAGCGAAACAATTGAAAGCAGTAAAAAAAAAAAAAAAAAAAAAACAAATGAATCAACCGTTTGCCTTTCTCCTGTCTTTTTCTTCTTCTACTTTTTTTTTTTTTTTTTATTTCTCCTCTTTTTGCTTTTCCGTTTTGTTCTTCTCTCTATCTCTCTCGACCGTTGCCTGCGGCGAGTAAAAAAGGGGCGGATGGAAATAAAATGGACTCGAGTCATTGGAGTCCCTTTCATTTGTTTGCCCGCGTGGTTAAGCCGGATGCAGTAAAACATGTATATATATGTAGGCATGTATGTAAACACACACACACACACAAACAAACAAACAAACAAACAGGGAACTCAACCAACCAACCAAAAAAAAAAAGGAAAAAGAAGGAGGGGACATGACACATGCCACGGCAACCGTCGCTTCTCCTCCCTTTTCGCTCTCTTTGCGTTCCTCTCACAATTTCTTCCGTTCTTTTCGACTCCTTCTTTTCCCCCCCTTCAGAAAAGCCCTCGTGCGGACAGACGGAACCCTTCGCGACGCTTTTTTTTTTTTTTTTTCTTTTCCCGCTTCACCCCTCCCCCAATTAAAGCGGGGAGGCACAAAAACACAAACAAAAAAAAAAGGCAAAAAGGAGAAAAAACAACAACAAAAAAAAAGACGTCTGGCCCAAAAACTCCTCCCCCTCCTTCTCCAAAAACAGAAGCAGAGAATTTAAAAAAGAAAAAAAAAGAAAATGTCCTCGCGGAAGCCCATCAGAGAAGAAACAAACAGAAACAAAAATAGAAAAAGCAAAAGAAAGAAAAAAAAAATTCTTAAAAAGAAAGCAAAGAGCCACGCAAATAAAAGAGGAAGTAGGTGGTGTAACTTCACTCCCCCTTTCAGCACCCCATCTGGGACCGTGAAAGGTTGTACGGATCGTGCCGCCATTTGCCTCCAGCACAGCAGCGGTGACTTGTCGACAAACTCATCGATGAGGTGCTGGTACCCTCGTCTCGGCTGGATGCGGCCATCGAATTGGACATCGTCCCACGAACAGAAAATGCCTTGCGGCAACCCTCCGTGAAGCCTCCATTTCGGAGCTCGGGTGTTCCTTCTTCTGCAGCCTCTGGATCTCCCTCGCAGTGCAGCAGGCTCTCACACGAAACAATAACACGTGAAGACAACTTCTTCCGGACAACTGACCTCCGTTTCAACGGGCGGATGTCACTGCAGCCCAAAGAACGGAATTTCGGTACCGGAGTTGGCACAGTAAAAACTTCCACGTTTGATGAATCCAGGCCCTGGTCAATGGAACCTGAACCATGCATATGTCTCACCCACGGACTGTTCCCCCCGTTGACGCACAATGTGTTTGTCGATGAACGATATACACTTGCGCCACCTCGCTGAACCAAAGGAAATCCCCGCACAGATATCGGACACGCGTTGGTCCCCGCAGAAACCCCTGCGGCAGGTGACAAGGAAGCTTTATGCGGCATATTTGAATCATGCGACTCGGAAACTACGCAATCAGATTCACTCGGTGTGGCTTTCAGGCGTGATCGGCGGCCAAGGGGAAGTTCTGGATCACCTCCCGCAACATCCTTGCACAGATGCAGAAAACTGCATTCCTCCGCAAAGCGACAGCGTTCCCTGATGTGAAGGCGACAGATAGGTATGTCCCCCGCTTCAAGAACAACGACTGGAGACTCTTCGTGGGGTACACGGCCTTCCCTTATTGCCTCTGTGTAAGACTCCAGAGAATGAGCAATTTCGTGACTCACTTCATTCAGTATTTTAGAAATGGGGACGGTATAGCCAACACGGCTCAGCGGGATGTAGCCACCCTCAAAACTGACCTCAGGAACGTAAAGCACCACCTTCGAAAGCCAAGAACGCTCATTCAGCACGTCAGCAATGTCCTCATCACCATGAAATACACAGCAGCACGGAAGTTTTCCCACTCGACTTCGCAGTGCCACAACCGCATCCAGGCTTGCATGAACCTGGTGGCACTGGATGCCTTGGCGACACCGGCCATGAAGAAACAGTTGGCAAAGGCTTGGAATTGTCGCGCGATGCTGGGCCCGGGTGGCGTAGATGAAATTGCAGGGAATCAAAAGCTTCCGGGTGGCAGGGTCAACGACCACCATACAAAGCGTGCCATCCGCGTCGTACGTGTAACCCTCTTTGGCTTCAATTAAAGGAGCAAGAAGTTGCATCTTTAATGCTCTATAGCCTTTTTCCCTCAATGCCACTTAGTATAGGTGTAACGGGCGCAATAATTATTTCTTTTTGTTTCGGCTTGCAATGGTTAAAAAAGAAAACCTTAAAGTGGGTAGTTTGCAAACTTGTTGCTACCTTTCTCGCTATCGCGCAAATGATGGAAAGTTTTAAAATAAAAATGATCATAATAATAATAATAATTCAAAAAAAAATAACCCCACGCTCTTCTTCTCGCGGCTAAAGGATACACCAATAGATTCACACCTCTTGGAAAGGACCCCGCTGAACTACACTCCTCCGCATCCCGCTGGTTCGGATACTGCTAATCCAAACAGGAGTACTTACCACGCGCGGCACCACAGACTGCGGACTTACCATCTCGGGGTCCTCCGCCAAGACCCTCGCGGCGGTGCGGGAAACTTCCGGACAGCATTCATGGCCCGTGTGCGGGCGAGTCAATTCCACAAGATCCACAAATCTCACTCGACAGTGGAAACTCGCCCGTGCATATCCGCCAAGAGAGCTGCATGTAAAAAGGCGCAACCAAGTCTAGTAAAGCGGCGGCTTCGTCCCATACTGTGCTAAGATACTATGAAATGTGAAATGGCAGAGCAAACGTTACCTCAGCGTCCTCCCGGGCGTTCCGTGCCTTTGGCCATGCGATGAACCGCCATCTCTGTCCTGACGGCTTGTCCAACACCGCCGCAAAAGGCACCGCCGGCCCACCCCGCGACAGGCCCTTCCATGGCTCTACAAATAATACCCGCCCTTTTCACAAGCAGCGCATGCTGCGCGGAGATCCGCAAATTCATTTCTTTCCCATCGCTCGTCTAAATGACGGACCGTAACACAGTGTCCTTCCACAACTCGCCAAAACAGCCGCGTGCCGTTGGATTCATCCGCCATCGGATCCACTTCAGAGATGAAAAGTGCACAGGTCCACTCGTCGCTAGGGGCAAGCAATCCTCCTCCTCCTCCCGCAACGCAACCCGACGGCTATGGGTGCGCCAAACGATGCTGTGGCCCTCAGAAAAGATGGTCGTGTGCCGTCCCTCCCCGGCGACAATTGTGCCCACAGCACCGTCGCCCGGTGCACCAACTCGTTTGCACCAAAGGTGTCAACCGCACGACGTCTTGGGGAGGTGTCCCACGGCATTACCACGAGCGCAGCGTTGAGAGGAAACCCATGCCGCCCGGTCACACCCGGAAATTGATGGTGATGCCCCACCTGTGCCGGCCCAGAAGGCATTGCTTCCGGAGCCGAAAGTCCTTTTTTGTGTGTTTATAGGCCTCCTTGCGCAGCTTCACTCGGCACGCCGTGTTGCATTGTCCAATCCGACCACGTTTGTGGCATCGTGCTTCATTGGGCGGGGGTGCGGCATGCTCTTTCTTTGCTCTCTGAAATGCCTGGGGGAATGGGCGGTTCCATTTCTGGGCACCTCGATAGCACCCTGAATGTCCTCGACCCGCACTCCAGCATCGTTATTCACTGTCCCGAGGATCCATGTGACTGAGTGTACGCAGTCGCCCTGCCAACTGGCAAGATTCCATGAGCATCTCCTCCCCGCGAATGGCGCACGCCCAGGACGCACCGTTCCCCTCACGGCTGTCTGCATGCCGGGGTCTGGCGCAGCCGGCGTCGGAAAGGTGGCCCAAGACGCATCCAGGAGCTGTGGCCAGGCGTTGCATCCATCATGCATTTCAATACGCCGTCAAATGGTGCAAATGCGATCCTCCGGACAAATCCCTGCCTCCCACGGATTCCCCACTTGTTCCCCCGTGTGCCCCTGTGAACCGAGTGACAGCTCTAATCCCTCTGGCACGTCATGAATTTGTAGGATCTTTCAATTGTCTCTGCAGTATGGGACGCATTCCTTCTTCCCGTGGCAGGAGTGGTGGAGACTTGTGGCGGGCCTTGCGGAGTGCTGATGGTCGCCAGCTTGTCGTCCCATTGATGACTATGAGCAACTTTTGCATCAGCGCCAATCGGACGCGCACCGCATGGAACTGCGCGTGGGCATCTGAGCTGCATGCCAATATTTTTTAGCCTCCAACTGAGCCCGGGCACACTCATATGGGCCAGTGCAGCGCCAACTGCCTTCCTTCAAGTGCCGCCCACTTGCTTCAAACAGCGGTGTGCCTCTTCCTCTTCAGAGAGGCTTGAATGGACTCAGGGTTCCTCGGCGCGGTGATGGCAGCGACAGAGTGTCGCAACGAAGTGCAATTCATTCCTTTGTCTTGGCCCCGCCTTGCAACGAGTCCGCCGCCCACGTGGTGGCTCAATGGCGGGCTAGTCGCTGGGCAAAGACAAAGTGAGGAACCTGCCGTTGGACCACTCCGCCTCACAATGTGGTTGTGGGCGTGTCTGTCTCGTGGACACCGTCCAATCCGTAAAAAGGCCTACAAACGCACTTCCCTTCCAAGACACACGCATTACGACAAAACACACTTTCTTGCTGCCTCTGAGAAAAGAAGTGAGGATTGCGGCTGGGCATTTGTACCCGACACAAGGCGTCAGGCCACCATGCCCTCTCCCCCTCTCATGCTTCCCAGAGAAAAGGGCGAAGAACAGCAAAAAAAAAAAAAACGTTGAAAGGATGCAAAAACCAGCCAAAAACAAAAAAAAAAAATTTGAGAAGAAAATAATAATAATAATAATAATAATAATAATAATAATAAGCGCGTCAAGTACCTTAGTGCGTGCACATTTCCCCTCTCATTTTTTGTTGCTTTTCTGTTTTTTTTTTTTTGTTTTATTTCTCATGCTGGCAACTCTCCACAGAAGCAAACCAACAAAAATGCACGGAAACAAAATTTAAAAAAAATAGTAAAAATAAAAATAAAAATAAAAATAAAAATAAAAATAAAAGTAAGCAGAGCGGAATCACGTGGGAAGAAAAAAGGCAGTCACACTCTACTGACTACAACAACAAAAACAACAACGAAGCACGTGTGTGGGTCATGTCACCCTGCTCTTCGCTGAGAGGAACGTAGAGAACAAAAGAGAGAGAAATAAATAAAATCTTGCAAAAAAAAAAAAAAAAGAAAAGAAAAGAAAAAAAGGGGGCGTGGGGGAAAGACACAACAAAAACAAAAAGTATCCAAAGCAAAGACAAAAAGAAAAGAAAAGAAAAAAAAAGAAAGAACAGAACCACAACAGAAACATATATATTTATATATATAAAGGGCTTCACTTGCAATTCTTGCGAGTGCAGAAAACACACACACACACACACACACAAAAAAAAAAAAAAAAAAAGAAGACACCTCAAAAACAATAAAAGAGAAACAACTCCTGGACGCATCACAATGTGTCAAATATGAAACATTCAGAAGAATGCCCCCCAAACAATTTATTCCATCGATGGCTCCATTCAGTTTCCATTGCTCCGTTGTTGTTGTTGTTTTTTTTCTTCATTCGTGCGGGGAGGGGGAATAAAAAAAAAAAAAAAAAAAGAGAAAAGAGTGTTTTTTACTGCTTTTTTTTTTTTTTTATTTCGTGAGTGTTTGTTCTTTCATTCCTTTTTTTTTTTTTTTTTCCTCCGTGAGGCACTGCGGCTCGTGTTTTATCCCTCCTTCCCCCCGCCCCTCCCCCCGTCACGTACGCCCTTCACCGCTCAGGCACGCCAGCCACGCGTCCTCCGCCTCGCCCTGCCTCTACGCGCAGGGAACAAACCAAAAAATAAAATAAAATAGAAGAGAAGGAAAAAAAAAGGGAGAAAGTGTGGTGCACGCATGCTTCCTTCCCTTTTTTTCCCCCTCTCGGACAACACCGGTCCGCTCGCAAACTCGTCAGCGGGGCCTCCATTACTCTTCCACACACTCATATAGAAAGAGAGAAAGAAAAAGAAATTGTTTACTCCTATCGTCACCCCTGCCCTCCTATTCTCGTCACCGGCACGGGCACATCCCTCTTCTTTCCTGTTTTTTTTTTGTTTGTTTGTTTGTTTGTTTGTTTGTTTCAATGGAAAGGGAAATATTATTATTATTATTATTATATAACTACATTCATGGTTACATTACAAATATATTTATATATAAATTTACACCACAACAAAGCCAAAAGCAAAAGACAAAAGGGCAAAAGGCAAAAAAAAGAAAAAAGAAGGAAAAAAAAAAAAAACCCGTAAAAAAACTCTCATAAAGTTTGTTCCAGTAAAAATTAATTGCTGTTGTTGCCTTATGCGTGTCCTCAAAAAAAAAAAAAAAAAAAAAAAATTTTCCCTCTTCTTCTTTGTCTTTTTTCCCTCCGACTTTTTCCTTGAGCTCCCTTTTTAATTGTTATTATTATTATTATTATTATTATTGTTTTTTTTTTTTTTTTTTTTTTCCCCTCCCTTCCAAGGGAAAGCCCCCTTTGCAGTCAATCAACACCCTACCCATAACCAAATAAAGATAATAATAAAAAACATGCATATCGGAATAAAAACGCACACACACACACACACACACACACACACACCCACACACACACACCCACACACACACACACACACACACGTCCATATATATATTTATACTTATGTATATTTGTGTATATTTATATATATTTATATAAATATATGATACGGCATTTGGTGGAAAAGGAAAAAAAAAAAAAAACCAACTTGGGTGAAAACCAAATGCCGCTTACTTGTAGCGGGAAAAAGAGAGGAAACGCAAAAAAGAGGGGAAAAAAAAAAATGGGAGGAAGGAAAAGAGAAAAAAAAAGAAAAAGAAAAAGAAGAAAAAGAAGACAGGGATAGAGAGAGAGACAGCAAGCAGGGGAGAAATTTTCCCCTCTTCCATGTATCCTCCCTCCTCCCTCCTACTCCTCCCCACTCCCAGTAGGGTTTCATCACGAGAAAACTCGCAACAATCATGACAACAGTAGTGATACCACACGTATTCTCTATCGTCATCGTCAACGTCGTCTCCCTTCTTCTTCCGCCCCCTCCTCCTCCTCCCCACTTCTTCTCACTTCGGCCTCACATGAGCAGCGTTCATGACTTTCCCCTCATGCCGTCCCCAACCCCCAACCCCTCCGCATCCGCTCCGAGTGGTTGCATGCGGGTGTGGGGAGTTGGCGGGGAATTGGGAATGGTGAGGGAGGCGTCGGCGTTGGGGATTTTTTTTTTTTTTTTGGTTGTTGTTGTTGTTTTTCCCACGGAGGCGTGTCTGAAAAGACAAACACACGAGAAGATGTTCGAACGTTACGGAATTTAAAAAAAAAAAAAAATGACATCATCAAAAAACAAAAACAAAAATTATATTTAATGACCTCCTTCCATCGGTCGCAAACAAAAAAAAGAAAAAAAAAACAGCAGCTGAAAAATGGAGGGGTTCAACCAAAAAAAGAAAAAAAAAAAAGGCATACAAGCCACAGAAGTCATGTCACTCTGTTTTTTTGTTTTTTGTTGTTTTTTTTCGTTGGTTTCTTTTCTTTGTGTCTGTGCCTGTTGGCTGATATATAAATAAATATAACTGTAAATATATAAATAAATAGAGATATAGAGGTGTCATAACAAATAAAACAAAACCACAAAAAAAAAAAAAAAAAAAGGCAAAGAGCAAAAATCAAAAAGTACAGAAAGAAGAAGAAAGAAAAAGAAATAAGGTAAAAAAAAAAAAAAGGAAAGAAAAACTCTCATAAATTCGCAAGTCCATAGAGAGAGAGGGAGAAAGGAGAGATGACTACTAAACGGCTCCACTCTCAAACCAAATAAACGGCGTGCTGCTGTAAGGGTTGTGCTGCCAGTGGCGTCTCAAAACACCTCCTCTAGAAGCCACAGGATGCCTCGAACTGACTTCTGGGGACGACGATAAAGGAAGATCGTCCCCAGCTGGGCGGTCATTGTCCATGTCAGCATCGCTTTCACACAAACTCAGCGAAATTTTAATACTGGGCGGTACCCGACGCACACATGCTTTAGGAGATGGTACTGAAAACAATAACCCCGGATCCGAAGATGACGAGTTCATGTTATAATTTGTCTCCGAGTACGACAAACCCTGCAAGCTACCTTCCGCAGCTGCTGCAGAGAAGCTTCCTTCCGGTGTCTTCGGGGCGGAAATTGATTGCATGCGAGATTGGGCCATCATCGCTGTTCTTGTTCTCCCCATTTCTTTTGTACCAGGCACCTTGGATTGGCAATGTACGGACCAGGATGAATCGGCAGATGATCTCCATGAGTTGTTAGGGGCCAATGGCAACGGCAGAGAGTGTTCGTCGCCCACCATCGGTTCATTTTTGGAGCAATGAATAGGATACCCTCGAAGTTGCTGCTGAAGTGAAATGGCAGTAAAGACCGACGTGTTGTGATGGCCTCTGGAATTGAAATTGGCGTCCCCATGGCCCTGCGAGGTGTAGGAAGAACTCGTTACTTCTTTGCACAAGTGCAAAAATCTGCATTCTTCCGCATATCGGCACCGATCAAAAATATGTAAACGGCATAGGGATTGATCGCTGGCGTCTATAATCAATCGTGAATTTCCGGGTCGCACATCATTTTCGCCGCAGGTACTTTCTTCACGAAGTTCGTAAATCGCACGATCCGGTTTCTCCTTCAGTATCCTTTGCAGAGCCACGGTGTAACTGACGCGGCTCAGCGGGATGTAGCCACCTTCAAAACTGACCTCAGGAACGTAAAGCACCACCTTCGAAAGCCAAGAACGCTCATTCAGCACGTCAGCAATGTCTTCATCACCATGAAATACACAGCAGCACGGAAGTTTTCCCACTCGACTTCGCAGTGCCACAACCGCATCCAGGCTTGCATGAACCTGGTGGCACTGGGTGCCTTGGCGACACCGGCCATGAAGAAACAGTTGGCAAAGGCTTGGAATTGTCGCGCGATGCTGGGCCCGGGTGGCGTAGATGAAATTGCAGGGAATCAAAAGCTTCCGGGTGGCAGGGTCAACGACCACCATACAAAGCGTGCCATCCGCACGTTTTGAAAGGTGTCGGCTACCACCTTTCATCAAATCGGGTTTATTTTCAGAGTTATTTTCCGGTGTAAGCATGGTGAGTATTTGTAACGGCAGACGCCAACTCTTCTGTAGGGCTTTCTTGGTCTCGTTACTTTTTGTTTTTGTTGTTGTTGTTGTTGTTTGTGTGTGTGTGTTTGTTTCTTTTTCTTGTTTTTTTTTTGTTTGTTTGTTTGTTTTACTTAACTCTTGGTTGTTGTGGGAAAGTTGTTGGAAACTTCTTGATGCTAAGCCAGTAGAAGAAAACAATGAAATAAAAATCAACAAAAAGTCAAGACATAAATAAATAAATAATAATAAAAAAAAAAAAACAGACAGAGAGAGAAAGACAGAAGGCACTTAAAAGAATGATGCATACAGAACAGCGTTTGCCTCCTTCTTATCTTTTCATTTTTATCGTTATGTGAAAAATTAAAACAGAAACACTGCAGGGGAAAAAATAATAAATAAAATAAAATAAAATAAATAAAATAAACCGGTCACTCAACCCTTTTTCATTCTCCCCAATCCTTTTCGAACCGTCGCCCTACCCCCCTTCCCCAATTCCAGTGCTCTGCTTAAATAGCTTGCATTTATTGCTGGATATCTTCTTCCTTCGTATTTTTTTTGTTCCCCCCTCTTTTTATGTATATATTTATATATACCAAATATGTTTTTCATTTACCCCCACGTCTCTTCCGCCTCGGTGGTCCTTCATGGTAGCCTTCCGTGCTCCTCAACATTTTGCTCCGCATCATTGATGAATCTTAATACACAAACATATACATGACATATACATGTGCATCCGTACCTACAAAGATGCGTGCAATGTATACGCAAAAAAAAAAAAAAAAAAAAAAAAAAAAGACAAGAGTGCATGGGTGATTATTTACTTCTCTCTGTGTGTGGATGTATTTCGTTCTGCTCAAAATACCACCATCTCCGCTGTTCCTTTTCTTTGATTTCGCTTTATTTTTATTTATATTTTCTTTTTTTTTCCTTCTTTTGGTATGGAAGTTTTCCTGTCCTCGTGCAAGTACCAGGCATCCACGCGCAAACACACCCACGCAACATGTGTACATCAAATATATACATATACATATATATATACATATATACATATGCGTATTGCACATTCAGTACCCCTGCATGGGAGGGAGAAAGATATATATATATATAGAGAGAGAGAGACGGTTACGGTCCCTGCCGCAGGAAAAGCGATGAGCCGCCCTCCGAGAGCATGATCGATATTTATTTTAACGGGCAACACCAGTCAAAACAGGCCTTTTCTTTTCTCTTCTCTCCCACTCACTCCCCCTTCTTCTCTTCGCCCTACCCCACCCCGCCTCCCTCCCCACACGCACACACACACACTCTCTCTCTCTCCGGGAGTGACAACTGCTACAACAGCGGCAGCAGAAGAAGGCGGACACGTAAAATTTTAAAAAAGAGGGGCCATTCGTCCGTGTGAAAAAAAAAAAAAAAAAAAAAAAAATATTTGTTTCCTCCTTCATGTGTTTCTTGTGTCTCCCGGGGAAGAATAAGAAAGAAAGGCAAACACACAAAAATAATAATAATAATAATAATAATAATAATAATAATTAAAAAACAATATATATATATATATATATATATATATCACTTCTCAGTTGTCTCGAAGTGTTGTGATTTGCGAAATTTTAATGACACAAATGTATGAGAAGGGGGAGAAAAAGAGGGATCAAAGAAATAGAGAGGTAAAGCAGCAGGAGGAGGTGTGGGGGAGAGGGTTAGCGGCATGATTGTGAAGGAGGTAGGGAAAACCCCCGTCCATACATTCCCACAGGGAGCAGCTGTTGGTGTTGGTGGTGGTGGTGGCACATCAACGACCCGTCGAACAGACAGGCGCAAAAATCAAAACCCAAAAAAAAAAAAAAAAAAAAAATCAAGAAAAAAAAAAAAAGAAAAACAACACGTCGTACATATCCGTCACATCTCTCATCCGCCTCCTTACAAAAATTGGTTCGTATCTTCACGTAAGTCACGTATTCCTCCACAAAAATTCCGTTTTTTTTTTTTTTTTGTTTTTTATTGCTTCTTCCCCCACCCCCTGTTGCCTTTCAGCGTCTTATCCATTCTACACTTCTCTCTCTTTCTCTTTCTCTCTCTCTCTCCCCCCTTGCCAGCACTCAGAAGCCGTCCTGTAAATATGATGCATGGGTGCCTGTGTATTACGTGGATTCCCCCAGCCCCTCCCACCGCTCCCCTCCCAGTCGTCTTATTAGTCGTGCCGCGTGCCCCCACTTCTCTTCCTCGCCTCTCCTCCGCCCGGCGCACCAAGCGCAACGAATATGACGCAAGGTATGCACAGATCAAAATAAATACATAAATACACAACCGCGGCAATGCCCGTTCTTCACAGGATGAGTGGGCGAGTTCAACAATTAGGAAGGTCATAACAATAAGGAAACCAAACATGCACACACACAGAGAGAGAGAGAGAAATAAGGAAGGAGTGCGGTGCACTCCACTCAGGCCACAAAAGGAGGCCCCCGAAAGGAACATACATACACAAAAACAAAAAGTAAATTACATTTAAGAAGAAAAATAAAACATGAACAAATAATTTTGATTGGGATTACTCTTCGTCTTCTTTCCGTCCTTTCACCGTCCACGCACCCCTCATTTCATCGCCTGGGGCCAGGGACACGCATTCGCAAAGATGCCAAAAATAAAAATAAAAAAGACACATGTATAAAAATATTTGGAAAATAAAAATAAATAGACGTTGCCTCCGCCTTTCACCTTCCTCTCTTTGCCTCACCCCTTCTCCCCCCAACACAATACACACATACAATACATACCATACATGAAACAGCAAAAAAGAAGGAAGACATTAGAAGTCGGACCATTTCTCCTTGCGTATTATATAACACATCATCTCGTCAATTGTTTGCCTGCAGTTTTGGGAAGGGAAAATGTAAATTCGTCCGTTTGGGCAGAGGATTCATTCACAAACAACAAAAAAACTCAACCAAATAAATCAGACAGTAAAAAAAAAAAAAAAAAAATTAAGATAAAAAAGAAAAAGAAGATGTAAAAAAAAAAAAAAAAAACGTAAAGAAAATGTGGCAGAATTAAACAATTACTTTTTTTTAATCCTAATTTTGCTGCTTATTATATATATATATAATACTTTTCATTTGTTCGTTTTGTTTTGTTTTCTTTTCTTTGTTCGTTTTCCTATTTTGCTCCTCGGCACCCAATTTGAAGAATGCGATGCATTCCAGTTCACTGCCCCGTTGCTTTTGACACCAGTAAATGGCAGACAAGGACGAGAGGTAAGTCCAAAAAGCATGTATACACACACACACACACATACACACACACAGAGAGAGAGAGAGAGAGAGATAAACAAGATATAGGAGGGCAAAAAATAAAATAAAATAAAATAAAATAAAAGAAGGGAAAGAGTAAAAATCATTTACCTGCTTTGCACCTTTTCTCAAGTGCACATGTATATATTATTATGCATACAAACAAGTGCCACAATTCTTCTTTCGTCCAGCTGTGATGATGATGATGATGATGATAATGACGATAATGGGCTCAGTCTTCTTCTCTTCGTTCACTGTTCCCCACACCACCCACATCGAATTACAAGCGCCAAAAAAGAAAAAAAAAAGTCGTTTTGCTTCCTGCAGCTCACCCCATTAACCACATGAAAACAGACACACACAGACAGACAGAGTTTAACACATTCACAGACACAGAAATATATAAAGGGAGAGACAGACAAAAACACAAAGGCAGGCCATGCGCACGAGGAAATAAAAAACAACACAAACAAACAAAAAAAAAAAAATTAAGGGAGGGCCGGACAGACAATTCAACATTTATTATTATTATTATTATTATTATTATTATTATTATTATTATTATTATTCAAGCAATTTTTTCGTTTTTTTGCTGGCAATCAATACTGAGAAAAGACGCATTCTTTCCTTCTCTTCCATGCATCTTGCCCTCAGGTTTCATCTGTGTGGGCATGAAATTGCTCTCTACAACCACTCAGTCGCTCTCCGCTAGAACTCCCCCGTGTTTTTCCTCTTCACTCACGCAGTACCCATGCCTCTCATTTCACACAGAACCATCTGGCGGCCAATAAATAAAGGGAGGCGGAATAAAATAAAATAAAAAAAAAGGGGGGGAAGAGGGAGAAGGAGATTAGATGTCTTTCACTCCGCATGGCCAAAGAATACACAGGATCCAATTTCTCCCTTATTTCAAAATAAGCCACAAAGTTCAGTGTACGTCTCGTCGAAGGCGCACGACGATCGGGTTCGTGTTCATCTTTGCCAAAGAAATTGCCGCCCAAAAGGTAGTAAAGAAAACAAAGGCAAAAATCAGAAGACATACACAGACCACATATGTATACATATATATATATATATGTTTTGTTGTTGTTGTTGTTGTTGTTTGAAATGGAAAATAAATAATAAAAATAAAAAATATTTTGTCACGCAGCGAGTCATTTTTATCAAATGTTTCTGAATATCCGCAACTCCATCATACCGGTGGATCGGCTAAAGTAAAAATCAAGGAAAACAAAAAAAAGTAAAAAACGATGTTTCACGCCTCAGTGTAATCTATACATGTATAACCACAAAAACACACATGTTATTCCTGTATTCTCCCTTCATTACAATATTCCTTTTTTTTAATATCGACTCCTCTCCTCTTCCTTCGCCGCTCTTTTTCCATTAAATTATTTTTTATTTTATTTTTTTTTTCCTATTTTTTTTTTCTCACTATTTTTTTTTGTCTGTGTGTGTACGTGTTCAGGCTGCTGCTGTGGGCTTTGTTTCTCTTGAAGGTTTCTTATTCACAACAAATACGATATTACGGGAAGAAGGGTCATGCTTGGTCCAGGATTGTTTTGCGGCTGAAAAACCTCCTCCAAACGGCTCCGCAAATTATAACCAGCGGCAGAGGCAACAAATGCCGAAGGTACCGTTATGTTCCGAGTCTGTTCAGGCATGTATGCCTCCTGTTGCTGCGGTTGTTGTTGTTGTTGCTGATGTGAAAACCACATGGCAGAGTATGCTGCTGAGGGGGAAGGATTCATTGGCACTACGTTCATCCCAGTGACTTGAGTTTGCTCAACAAGTTGGTAGGGTAAAGGTGGCACTGGCGACAGATTTGTGTTGCCATTTCCCAGAGAAAAAGCGAAAGCAGCAGGACTGCTAGGGGGTCCAATGGACACGGAAATGGCAGATTCATTCGGTATGTTTTGAGACATGGAAGATACTCTCCGTGGAAGCACTTTTTCATCTGACGTTTTGTGCTGCAGACCCCCATGATGCATTTCTGCACCACCAGCCCCAGCCCCAGCCCCAGCCCCAGCAGCCACCGCTGAAAATGCCAGCGCCGATCCCTGTGGTGGTGAAGCGGAGTGAACCCACATACAAGGAACTGCAGATGCAACTGCCGTATCACGATGAGGAAACACATTGTTTATACTACCATTACTTTTATAGTCTTTGGTCGAAAAGGGGCTCGTGATCATCATAGGAAATTGAGTTTCCGCAGGAAGAAAACTGGATGTTTGTTCTTGTTGCTGCTGCCGGCTTGAAGCCGCCAATTGGACTTCATTCACTACTGATGGAAACATTGGGGCCGCATTTGGCAAAAGTGTCAAAGTACTTTCCGTTTTTGAATCCTTCGTATTGGCTTCTGTCATAAACGCAAATTTCGTTTCCAGGATTTCACGACACACGTGCAGGTACCAGCAGTCAGCGCCATAGCGACAGCCACCTGTTTTGCCGTGTAGACGGCAAAGAACACCAAAGCTTAGAGGACGTTGCACCTTATTTGTAACAAAACGAGCTAGTCCGCTTGTGTAGGCCACATGGCTGAGTGGCACCCACACACCACTGATAAAAACCCCTCGCTTAGAGTTGGCCTTCGCATCCCAGCAGTGGGTGTTGCAGTCGCCATGAAATGTGCAACAGCATGGAAGACCATCTACAATCCGACGTAGTCGCTGTACAATCTCCGGATCCACATGTACCTGATGACAATTGACGCCTTGGCGACAACGACCAGATTGAAAAAGGAGACACAAACTCGGATTTTGTGCACGAATCCCAAGGGCTTTGGTGGGAGAAATCGCGCTGAGTGGTACACGAAGCTTTGAACGCCGCGGATCCACAACAACAATCACCTTCTCTTCGCCGCATTTCTCAGTGATGCCATCACGTCTCTCCTCTCCGACAGACCCTACGAGTCCTGATGAGGCAGAAGAAGGAATAAACAATACCTGGGGCATTTCCTGGCAGCTCTCATTGTCCTTCACGACAGCGTTCGATTGAGTTGCATCGGATCCCCAAATATCATCAAATTCAATGTATGGCTGAGAATGCTGAACCCCCATTTTCCAGGAGCACCGTGAAGGCATTGAGGTAATTTTGAGACGCGGAAGCTCCAGAGTAATTACAGGACGCCAGCTTATTTGTGATTGTATTCACAGCCTCCGTCAGTCCCAAGGAAGAACCCAGAGAGGTCGACAAAGCGTCCCCACGCATCGGAATCGGTCGCCAATTCTCGTCCTCAGAAATATTGCTCTGACAAACGCCAACGCCGGCGCCGGCGCCATTCGACAGAATATTTTCTCCAAAATTCTCCGCAGCTGCATCCTCTCGTGTTTTCATACACGCCACCTCATTATTCAGTTCGTTAGACCACGAAATGACGGCATGCAAACCGCTAACATAATCGAAATCCATTGAAACCCCTAACCAAAAACCTATTTCCGTGCCTTTGCCCCTTCTTCACCCTGACACTCACCGCCTCCTTTTGCCTGCGTTTTTGTCCTTTTCTCCCCTTTTTTTAGTTTGGGTAGGGTTTGCGTCAATTATAGTTTCTTGTCTAAAAAAACTCCAGTAATTCTCTGCGTGGCCTGAGTTCTCGTTGTTGCTGCCGTTTCTACCTTTCCCCTTCACGAGTAAATAGCCACGGAAAGGAAAAAAAAACCTAAAACTGAATGAAATGACCCCTCACCAGAAAACTCAAATACAGAAAAAAAAACAGAGAGAGAGAAAAAGAGTGAAAGGAAAATAAAGGGAGCGCAGAAAAAAACGGAAAATCCCCACTAGAGCATCAAAATCCTCATGTACGCCCCAAAAAAAGAGCATCTATACTAAGCCTGCACATGTGTGGCTTGTAAATCCTACACTCCAGTACTGCAAATTGACCAACATACGAATATGTATAATAGTTTCCACTCATCATTCGCAACAGCAAAAACAAAAGATATATCACCACAAACAAAAAGCACCGCAACAAAGAGATTCTCGTTGTCCTTTTTCCCACCTCGATACCCACAACCAATCGCTTTTCTTCAATCTTGCCACTTTCAACGCACCAAAGTATTGTGGTTAAATTGCCGAGAGCAAAACTCCACCTCTTCCTCCACAGCGCAAAAATCATCCAGAGAAGGCACAGATTCCATATTTTGAGTATCATCTAGACGCCTGTTCGACGTCGCCCCAGACGCCGCACATCCATCACTGAGAGACTCAAGGCCGTAAGTTGCTTTGTACCACTCCTCATAGCGCTCCGCATCTGGGGTGTACTTCTTTCGCACCTCATCGTTGTTCTCAAAAGCTCGGCGCCACGAAGTGCAGCGACGTGTTGGAGCAGGTTGCGGAAGCTGCGCCACGTACCCCTGCGTGATGGGTTTGCTAAAAAGTAAAAACAGAAGGGATCGCTGATACATGCCTATTTTCCTTTTCCCCTTCCTGTCTGTTTTGCACACTACCTGCCGCGGTTCTCTGGGCGGTGAAAGAAACAGAAATTTTAAAAAATATATAAGAAAAATAAAAAAATGAAAAAGAAAATGCTAAAATAAAAATTAAGAAAGAAATAATTGAGCAAGAAACGGAGGAATCCGCTGACACACACACACACACACACGCAGAAATAGAAAAAAACTACTCCTAATTTTGGTTTGTATGCACCTCTATTCGTTTTAAACAAAACATATGAATATGCATATACTTAAGTATTCTGCTCACCCCACACCTCATTTCTTGCTTAAAATGGAAACGAATGGCGCAAAAAGTCAAGCTCATTCTCGTGTCGGTGAAAACAAAGTAAAAACCTAAACAAATAAATAC